TATCACAAACAAAGACAACATTGATACAAAACGGAAGTCCAAGTCATACTAAATCGCATTATAATTATAATGTGAGACTATGAATCAATGAATGATATTTCTAATTCTATCAGAATTTTGTCCTAAATTATAGTAAATCTGTCTGGAGGGTACAGTGGATGTTTAGTTACCAACAAGTAGATCTACAACTATTAACTAACAATCAAGGGCACAGCTAACTTTTGGGGCACTTAGGGCAAAGCATCTTTTTTACTACCCCCACCATCCCCCAATAAAAAATGTGTTAGTCGAGTTGACATAAAGTACCCCCACTTCCAATTTGGCAAGTTCTGGGGCACTTTTTACCAGTCACTGTCCTTTTACTATGAATTTGTTGGTGACACTCAATTTATGTAGAAAACAGTTGCATAAGTCTGTGAAACCATGTAGCAGACTACACTGTTCTGTTCACTCATATTTTGTATAATGTATAATTCAGTAATGAGCTTTTAGTTTTTTTTTATACTCTGTTTGGCATCCCCTCCTAGGGTCCACACCCCCCCCCACACCCCCCACCCACTTGCCCTCCCATAGTTTTGCCTCATTGTAGGTAGGGCTATTCAACTAACAGGATGAAGATCAAATAGAATTTAGATCTAAAAAGAGATAGAACAAAATAACTCTATGAAAATTAATAGGCTGGTGGAGAATTAAATCTATTAATAATAACTGAATAGTCTTTCTTAATAAATAAATAATGAATGAGAATGATGAGGACTTTATTTCCATTGACAGTGAAAGTAACCTGATGTATTGTATTGTGAATTGCATTCATTTCAGGCCCTATATCATTTTTTAAAATCATTGATTATGAATGATCCTGATTTAAAATTTTAATAAATAAAATCATATAGATCTAGATCTAGTATAGATCTAGTTAAGTATAGATAGGCTAGATTCGGCTAGATTCTCTTGAGATATCTAGATCTAGAATAGATCTACTAACAACTACTAATGTAGTTTTAGGCAATTTAGGCTTAAATTTTTCTTTTGTAGGCTGTGGTGTTTAACTGTAATAGTACTAATAGATCTAGAATCTAGATCTAGTAATTTCAAATCATTCAGTCAATGATTGTCAGTCACAATCACAGATAATCAGATTCAGTCTTCTATGAACTGTTAAAGTAAAGTAGGCTAATCATTGAGTTTTTCTAAAGGGGTATCGTCATCGGTTTCTAAGCAGTCAATGTGTCTAAAATCGGTTCTCAGCTTGAGCAGAGAACCAAAGACTTTCGGCGAGTTTCAGACATTTCAGAGTGTGTTTGACTATCGTTCGTCTGCTTGACTGTGATTGTGTTCAGTTAGTTCAGTACTGTTCAGTCAGTGTGTTGTGTTTCCTTTTTTCTACTTTATCAAACTTAAAACTATAAATAATAATGCAATGTATTTTTAACAATTTCTAATCTGTATCTTTCAAAAATTTTGATTTAACTGATCAATATAGACATCTAGATTTCTAATATTTAATAACTTACACAAAACTATGAATTCGTTTAACAGGCTACAAACATTAAACAAGAGAAGAAAATCAGTCAAAATCCTTCATAATTTGCCGATCAACAGTCAACAGTAAGAAATTATTTTACAATCAAGTAAGCAGCCTAGTATGTTTAGCGGACTATGCAGTTGAAATCAATTGAGTGACACATTTTCTTTGTGACTTTTATTTTTATCATGTGACAAACTACGAACATGAAGAGACATTATGACAAAAAAAATAAATGGACGACCTTTTCAAATATGTATATTAATATTCACTCAGGGATGTAGCCAAATTTACAGGTTGGGGGAGGGTCGATAAACAAAAAGAGATCATCCATAAAGAAAGAGGGTCATCCATAAACGAAAAAAATTACACGGGCTGTGGAAAAAGCTCTGTTCCTCATCTGCATACGACACACATCGTCACAAAGAGAGCTATTACAATATTTAGAATCTATTTCAAAACTAAAACCATTTCAGGCCTACCGAGTGCGGTCAACATAGTGTCTCAGTATATTTACCAACCTTAATTAGACTACAATTCACTTAAAGTCTTTAGGAGGGGGGGGGGGAGGCAAAGTTATGGCAAAAATTAATCCGGTTTCTAATATTATTCTGTAAAATGCAAACATGTCGCACTTTCTGAAACTCCCCCTCTCCTCGTCCCAAAAATTCTATCATCCCCTGGGGGAGTATATCAATTTGACGTCATCCTGCTTTGACAATTTTACCTCATACCCACGCCACATCGTCATAAAAAGAGTCAGGACCCTCCTTTCCCCCATTTAATGAATACTAAAACAGAGTTTACTTCCAGGCATCTCTTCGGGGGGGGGGGGGGGGGGGGGGCAGAGGCGTAGCGAGGGGGGGGGGGGCGGGGGGACATATCCCGGGCGCCGACCTTAGGGGGCGCCAAAATGGGTTGGAGAAACAAATCGAAAGTTCGAGGGGTGCAAATGGAAAGTTTGAAGGGGGGGGGGGGGGTTGCAAATTGAAAGTTTGTCCCCAGGCGCCGGTCAGGGTCGCTACGTCTCTGGGTGGGCTCTGCCCCCCCCCCCCCCAACGAAATGAAATTTATATAGAAAATATATACTTTTAACAGTGTCCGCCCCCCCCCCCCCCCCCCGAAAAAAAGTCTACCGCCCCCCCCCCCCCCCCCCCCCCGAAAATTTCAAGTGCCCCTCCCCGGAGAAAAAAGTCTGGAAGAAACACTGTACTAAAGATGCAAAACTTCACTCTCTAAACAAAAGCAATTTCTGTTTTTTAAACAACGATTTATTTCTCAAAAAGAGACCTGCCTGTTTATATTATTTTCCCCGTACAGTTACTGACAGAGGCTATGTATTATGAATATTTGCGCACGTGGTAATAGTGTTCAATTTTCGTTATTTTAGGTCGTTTTTCAAATGTTAAAATGCCAGACGCACTTCTTATAATATACAAGGTCACAAACTTCATCTCCCCCCCCCCTCATTAGTCTTTATATGGTAATGAAAATTGAAGGACAATCTATTTTCAAGGCTAAAGTTGAATGAAACACACTTGAAGATCTGTACGTGGCCCTAGCACTTGCTAAGAATAGACTACTTATGGCACACTGATTAGGCTACATGAAATAATTTAACATTGATATAGGCCTTAGTGAACAGTGTTTCTTCCGGACTTTTTTCTCCGGGGGAGGGGGGGGGTGCACTTGATATTTTTTTTTTTGGGGGGGGGGGGGAGGTGCTCAACATTTTCCGGGGGCGACGGACACTGGTAAAAGTATATGTTTCATTTATAATTTCCATTTCGTTCGGGAACGGTCGACTTTCTTCGTGTCCGCCCCCCCCCCCAAGAGATGACTGGAAGAAACTGTTAGTGAATACAAAACAAGGACTCATAAGGTATAGTGCAACTTTTATTGGATGTTAAAATCTTCTACATGAATACAGTAATTATCACAGATCACAGTTTGTAACATGCTCAGAGTAAAAATTTAATTGGAATGTTAATTAATGATTGAAAGGCTTGCTCAGTTGTGTATTATTGTAAGTCAGCTACTGTGCTATTCAGTGTTTATGTAAAAAAAAAAAATAAAAAAAACGCCAGATTTTATAACAACACAGTGGAGTTGAGAATTGACCATCAAAGTCCATCTTAATTAACAATGAATTACTCTAAAGCAAGTGTAAACAGATGTCATCAGTAGAGTCAAATTGCGAGATGGAGGTGACAATAAACTGATTTACTGAGAAAATAAGCATTGCCCCCATTAATTTAACAACTTATCTGCCTGAGGTCAAGATGACTAGACACCTATTTGACTTCTTGGTAATTATTAAGGCCGATTCTAGCCGGAAGAAGATGCGCATATTTACTAAACAGCGCTAAAGTGACCTGGTTTTTCTTAGGCTGGGGCGCAAAAGCTTCTTCCAACTAGTCATTTCGAATTATTAAAGTGCTATGTTGAAAGGCACACATTATTAATTAACTAACACAATTTGCAAGAACTTGTACAATGCCGGGCTAAGATTTTGCCTTAAAAATCAGAAAATTTTTGTACATCAAACTAATTTCCAACAAATTTAGAATGAGAATGTTGATTATAATGTTGATGTCATTTATCAACAACCAAGATTTTAATTAAAAAATATTATTTTAGACCTACAGTGTTAAAAAATACAGCTTCAATAAATTTATAAATATTTATATGTAAGTCAAATAATAATTTGTGGAAAAGTTTAGGAGTAAAATGTTTAAAAAAAATAAAAATCTAGTAATTAAAACATGGAATATAAATGAGACAGTAATGATTAGGATGATCAAAAATAGATCCCAAGCTAGAACAAAAATATTTAAATACAGGACAATTAAATATATGGTGTTTGATAATTTTTAAACTGACTTCATTTGGTTTAATACATAAACAGCTTGTTTGGTCAATAGATTGCTAAGTTAAAAAAAAAACGTTAGTAAACTTTAAAAATAAATTGTACAATGTTAACAGAAGCAAGTGTTGAAAATAGCGAAAAAGAGCCGAAAGTAGACATTGATACATCACATACAAAACCCAAACTAAAACAAAATCATTCAAATCTTTTTTTTTTTTTTAAATAAAATAGTTATCACAAAACTTCTAAAAAAGTTATTGTTTAAACATGGAAAAAAATGTTTGAAAAAAATAGATTTGATAAAATTATATTTGGTTAAATAGATTAAAGGAATTTTATTTAGCAAAATTTAAAAAAAAATTAAGACTCTTTTAAACCATCGTTCTTATTTCCACATGAAAAAATGTACACAGCATTAAATATATTTTCTTAGAGTAAAAAAATAAGTTATGTTTACATCAAATGCCTGGGAAAAAAAGTTATGAATTTAGTATGGAGCTCTTTTTGTTAGACATTAGCCATGAATGTTACACAAATTTCATTTTATTTAGTTCACACTAGTTCACATATTTGACAGTAACATCTGCTTGATAAAACAAAATGTAAAAAATGTAATTTGAAAACCAGATTTTAGAATCACTGTAAATTTATAAAACAAATAATCTCTTTAAATTATTTTTTTCAAAATAGTCGATTGATCTTTCTCAAGGAATTTTTATCACAGATGATTAATTTTAACATATTTTCAAAGTTTCTTACATACATATTTAGGTTAAAGATTGATGAAAGATCTGTTGACTTGTATATGATGGATATTTTTTTCTTAAACCAATTTTAGTAGCGCACAAAAAAATTGTATTCAAATATTCAACAAATTTTATAATGGATGTCAATGGCTTGCACAGCAAACATTCAAATTCGGGCGAAAAACACTTGGAACATGAAACATTTTACACAAAGTATACAACAATATCATTTGTATATAAATCACTTGGTTAGCATAAGCTATAATAAAAACATAAATATATAGATTTGTATTTTTTATCAGTGTCATGGGTAAGGCAGGCATGAGAAAGTCTCATTCATCTGTCAGTGTCAATATATTTAATAATTTACTCTGATCAGCAACAGCAAAAGCCAGTTCTCTTTGTTAAGAATAAAAACATTCTTCCAGTGTTAATACCAATGTTGATTGTAATGTAGGATAATTAAAAACAGTTTTCTTTTTATGAATTTCCACAGAACAAATATTAGTATTTTTTATGGTCCTGTTTACTTTGATCAACTACTGCTAGAAAAAATTATATTTTAAGAAATAAAATATAACACCAATTTTGATTCTAATACAGACTAATTTTTAAAAAACTGTCTTCTGTAAAAGATTTTCAAAAAAAAATATTTTTAAAAAATCTGAAAATGGTTACAATAAAAATAATATATCATAATTAAATAACGTAAAGAAATTAAATGTTATTATTGCATTGGCTTCATGAATCTCTTGTGTTTAAATTTAGTAAAACAATTGAATTAGCTAAGCATTTTAAGGAACAAAAATATCAAATTTGGAGTGTTAAAAATATTTGATTTAAACATATTTAGACATATTTTTAGCTTTACTTTCATATTTATGTTGATATGAAAGACCCTTGCAGTAAATTAACAAAGGTATCAAGGACTAGTGAGCAGGTATGGTTTGATTGAGGGAAATATACTTTTTAATTTCTTCCCTTAGCTGCTCTGATAGTTTGTTCCCATCCAGGTTCATCTCCAGAATTAAAATGTTCCTCTTCAACAGGTCTAAAATATATCTACCCCCTTCATCTGTGATGCCAACATGGTTGAGGTCAAGTGTGGAGAGGGATGAATTCTCATACAGACCACCAGTGATCTCTTCAATGCCTCTGTTCCCAATGTTGTTCTGATCTAACGTCAGCGTCTCCAGTGATCTTGTCTTTTTTAGGGCTTGACCAAGTGCTTGCCACCCTTTGAGAGATATCGCTGGGTTCGACGCCAAGGTGAGCGTGTCTATCGCCATTTCTGAACGAATCAGCCTGCAAATTGCTTGCATGCCATCGTCTCCAAAGTAACATCTGCTGAGGTCAAGTTCATGCAGTTCCTTAAGAAGGTCTTCTTCCTGTATTGTCACACCTTCCCCCATGGCGGCGATGTTTTGGTTTAGCTGTGTACAATGAAAAGAAATTAAACTTAACAGATGTTGAATGATAAAATAAATAATTAGTTGATATTTAATAGGCTTATATATATATATATATATATATATATATATATAATATTCCATATTGCTTAAAGAAGATTTTCGGTTTACATGCCAGCCCCAATAGCTGCAACTTATGTGAGACAACTTTCATTTGGGTGGTCCATAGTTGGGGAGGGGGGGGGGGAGTGAGGGTTCTTTGATCCCCTGTCTAGGGTACTGCTCTAATCTTTCAGCACCCACCTTTTCTTCATGAAAACTCAACAAGCCATCAACCAACTGGTTTACACCTTCATCTTGCAGCTGGGTACCCCTCAAGCTATATAAAACATAAGGGAAGAAAATAAGCCTTAATGTGAATACATATTTTAACAGGCTACCTTAAACATTTCATTTATATAGGATGATAGGAAATAGTTGTTAACATAAAGCGAAGACCCTGCTAAAATAAAAATTTTTTTTAGCTTCAGTGATTTTCTGTTTGTTACTGACTTTATTATTGATAAGGTGGAGCAATGCAATGTAGCAGTGTGTTCAAGTATTTTTTGTTTCATTTCTCTAACAAGATGAAAAACTTAACTAGCTTATAGAATATTTTTCACAATACTAAATCAAATTTTTCTATTGTTTCTATTGTAAACTTAATGTGAATCATACGCGATTAATTAGGCTCCTATATTAAATAAGTATGATAAGTATTTTTGTGTGTTTTTCATTCACATAACACAACATTTCTAGACATAATACATAAAATATAAAGTAGGTGGTCAAAGTGAGAGTGGGGAGGGTAGGGAGGGGGGGAGGATAAAAAAAATCATGTATGCTGAACAATAATTCCACAGTCTCATTATTAAAAGAATTTAGAAGTATACACTTCAGACAAAAATATGGTGATTATGAATAATTAGATACACCAATAACCATCCCAGCACCATACTATAATAGAAAGCTGCAGAGAAGTAGAAATGATGACAATGTAGGATTATACAATTTTATTGATGTTATGAGATTATTCAAAAAGGTGGAAATAAAAGTAATCAACTTACAGAATAGCTTCTATAGATGGTTTCTTCTTTAACACATCCAATAAATAGTCCACACATTTAGATGTTAAAGGATTATCACTTAAGTTCAAAACCTAGTAAAATAAAATTACAATTCTTGTATGGTTTCATGTTTAAACATTACTGAAAAATTATTAACAACTTTGTAAAAAACTTTGCAGAAAAAAGAAGAGACAAATAAGCTCATATTGTGATGATTAAAATTAAAGTCAAACTGACCACTGGATTAGACTGGGATTTGCTGATTGCATCGCCAAGTTTTTTAATGTCCTCATCGTTCAAGCTACAGTTCTCTAGAGTGAGGTGGCTCAGCCGAGCATTGTTCTCTAAATAGTGGGCCACTTCAGAAATCTGTATTAATTATTGGTTTGTAAGAGAAAACACTTTACTGTAGATTTTAATCATGTAGATTACTTGCATAAATCTGTTTATTTAAATTAGTCTTCAACAAATTTCTTGTAACAAGAAATAATATTCCAACATATTTTCTTTACTTGTAATTAAACAGAAAAAATACTTAACATTTTTTATAATTAATTTTTATAAGCCTTATAACTAAGAAATATTAGGACATCGAAAATAAGTCAACTTTATGTTTAGGGCTTAAAAAACTCAGTAAATAAAATTGTCTTAAAGACCATTCTAGAATTATGTGTTATTTAAAAAAGAGAACATAGCAGCTATGTTAAATTGTACTGGGTCAAGATTTGGGTAAACAAAAGAGGCTTCTCGGCTAACCATAGGATAACAAAAAGTCATAAAAACCAGGAAGTGACACAACAAGAAAACAAATATGCCAGCATTAAATCGAAACACCAAACCTAAACCATAAACCCTTTTTGTAAATAAATAAAATACAAAGTTAAATCCTACCTGGGTTTGGTTTAATCTGACATTAGTTATCTCTAGTGCAGGTTTATTTTTCTCCAGCTGTGCGGACAGACTTCCGTCCATTTCTTTATTGGATATGGGTCCGGGTGGTGTGTCTTCCTTCACTGCACCTGGTTCTTTCGTGGGTCTGGATGGTACATCCACCTTCAGAGAACTTGGTTCTTCTGACTTGTTACCTGAGTTTATAGTTGTTAGTGAATCACTTTAAAACTATAGTTAAAAGCTAAAGCAGTAAAAGTGATCAAATGTTTACATTTTTAGTAAAACAGATCTCAGATGGTAAATAATGTCTTGGCTAAATTTTAGCAAAGCACATAATGATTTTAATTCATTTTTTATGTTTATATTTCACACAACTACATTGTTCAATATTAACTTTCAATGTAATTTTTTTAGAAAGAATAAATATTTTCAATTAAAGATTTTATTAGAAGAAAAAAAAGAGAAAAAAAGGTACTATTTTCACCAAAAAATTAAGTTGTGCTCAAGTTTTTCATACTAATACTTTATTAGCTTTTTAAAAATTATCCAACATAAAATTAAAAGAAAATCACTTCAACATGAAATGTTTAAAATGTCTTATCATCTCTCATACCTTCATGGGCATGTACATCAGCCACTGTTTTGCCATGTGCTTCAGACTTTGTCACTACCTGAAAGTAAAACATAATACATAATTATTTATTTAACCAACATAAACAAACTTTTTAAAATATTTTTCAGTGTCTATTTAGCTGTACAAGATGCAATGGTAAGCAATGTGGCCTTGTTTAAAATTGTGAAAACAATTATTTTGAAAGAATTTTAAATAACTGTACTTAAGTGGAAAATCTCTTTTAAAAAACAGTAAATGATATTTAGATTTTAACTTTTAAGTTAGCTTTATTAAAAATTTTTTTTTTTTTTAAATTACTTGTTTTTTCTTCTTTGATTGGCTGTCAGATGATCTTGCACTGCTTTTTCCACTGCTTGAACTACTGTCAGAGTCACTGCTTGATTCATTGTCTATAATAAACATACAAGTAATTTTTATTAAACTTCGGTTACTTTAAAAGATGGACTAGTCTTTAGGTAAAGTTTAATTATTAGATTAATACGTTTAAATAAGTTGTAAAAGAAAAATATCACATTAAGTACAGAAATGATTGCTTATTACTGGTTTAAATTTAATGGCAAAGTTAATAAATCATTTAAAAAAAACAAGGACCCAACAAAAAAGATTTGGCTCATTTGACAAATGCGAAGTTTTATTACTTCTTGTATTGTAGATGTAGCAAAAAAATAAAATTCTCTCTAAAAAATATCTGTTTATCTTTATAATTAAACATTTTTTTTACTAAAACACCTAAACAAAATGACTGCACAGACGTTAATTACCACTTGATTTAGTTTTTTTCACAAAATCCACAGGTCCAGCCATTGTAATTGGTGAAGCTACATGAGTGAGAGCAATCTTTGGTAGATGTTCCTCACTGTCTTTTTTCTCCTCCACCACAAAAGATTTCTCATCCTGTTGGTCCTCTAGTTTTTCATTCATCTGATCAGCAGCCTCTACTTTAAAAGTTTCTTCAGGAAAATCGTCAGTATTTGTTGGGTCGTTGTCCAGGTTTGGTCCGTGGTCTTTGATGCTAGCTGACCCAGAGGATGTGGAGGAGGATGAGGATGAGGAAGATGACGAAGAAGAAACACCTAAAAAGAAAAAAAAATTATAGTATTAAGAAAAATTATTTACGCAAAAGGAAGTTGTATGATATACATTAATTAGGCATTCCATTAAAAAAATTAAAATTGGCTAATTAAATGTATGAGCATTGCAAAAATATTGTGCTTGATGTAACTAGAATAACACTGAAAAAATTTTCTTTCTAGCTTCAGTAGTTTTTTTTTTATGAATTTTTTACGTAATGGGTGAATGTCCACTATATTTCTTTGTAAGTCATGAAAATCACTGTCCCCTAACTTTGAAATAGCACTGCTCAGTTATTTTTAAAGATACAATGTTAAAACTTTGCAGGATCTTACTTCAGCATGTTAGAATAACATATATTAATTGAAATCATTAAGTCATTCACTGGGAGCAGAATAATTAGCATTCCTTTAAGGGATACATTACGGCTATTATGGGCCCTAATTTCTAAGTTGCACTGCTCAGTTGTTTTTAAAACTACAATGTTTAAACTTTGCAGGATCTTACTTCAGCATGTTTGAATTACATATATTAATTAAAATCATTAATTCATTCACTGGGAGCAGAATAATTAGCATTCCTTTAAGGGATACATTACGGCTATTATGGGCCCTAATTTCTAAGTTGCACTGCTCAGTTGTTTTTAAAACTACAATGTTTAAACTTTGCAGGATCTTACTTCAGCATGTTTGAATTACATATATTAATTGAAATCATTAATTCATTCACTGGGAGCAGAATAATTAGCATTCCTTTAAGGGATACATTTTGACTATTATGGGCCCTAATTTCTAAGTTGCACTGCTCAGTTGTTTTTAAAACTACAATGTTAAAACTCTGCATGATCTTACTTCAGCATGTTTGAATTACATTTATTAATTTAATTATTAATAGACTTGCCAGTAGCAGAACAAATTGAATAAAAAGGTAGTAGGCACTAATTTTTTTTTAATAAATTAAACCGAACAATTTATCTTAGGCACACTGACAAGCCAGGAGTTTTATTTACTGAATGGTTGTCTTTAAAAACTATTATTATTAGCAACACAACAAGTAGAATAACTTAAATAACATTTCAGGAAGCCTACACCAAATTAATAACATTGCAAGTAAAAAAAAAAACAACTCATCTCTGACTATTATCTTATCAGGACAAATGTTTTATATTAAATGATTCTCCATAAATAATTAAATTTACACAATTAAACAAAAAGCAAAGTTAATATATACATCAAAACAATAAACTTTTAAGGTAGACATAGCTTACATCAATACAATAACAGGTGAGACTTGTACCAAGTTAAGCTTTGTACAACATGGACTACTACTGTCATCCTAGCTACTAAACACAAGGTCACCTGTCAGTAAATCAGTGACTAGAGATGTCATTGTCATGTCATAGTCAACACTGTCAGTTTCCAATTCATCAGGTCCCCAGTAAGTAATTGTACATTTCATTGTCTTAGTCTTCTGTTGCTTAAAATTTACCACTCTGCCAGAATACATTTTATCAACTCCTTCCTCTGTCCATAAATGCTTAAGTAGATGTCCTGTATAGGTTTCAGTCAGTTCAGACATAGGATTTTCTGAAGTAATATACATTGCAATGAGGCCCATAACTTCAGGAGACGCAGATGAAAACACACTAGCATTCATATCTTTAGCACTCAAAGCCATAGCAACCTCTTTTTCTAGAGCCTTACGGTTGGATTGTTCATGTTTCTGACCAGCTTCTAGCATTCGACGCATCATCACTGCTTCCATCATCTTCTTCCTTTGTGCTGCAAGTTCCCTTGCTCTGTACCCCTCTTTCATTGCAAAATAAACTAATCTATATTGGGTCATTTTGTCCTGTTGCAGAAGCCATCCTACAGTATCATTTGTCCGTCCTCTCACCTTTCCGTCTACAAAACCAGCTGTCGCATTAGGGGCCCGACGCCATAAATAGTCAGTCATTCCTAATATTCTCTCAGCTGCCATGTTGTGTGAAGGAGCAGTTGAAGCTTGCGTCAACTGCTCAACTGTAGGGCTAGAAAGGTCGCCACTGGTATATCGAACAAACTGGCGGTCAAAGACCTTAACAATTTCATGTAATATTTGCTTCAAAGTTTGCTTTACTTTATCCCTGTGGGATTCAATATTGTTGATGATTGCTGTCAGCACCATGTCTGAAGCTGCATCAATGGGTTCATTAAAAACATTCACAGTGGGACATAACAACTCTTCTGGCTCAGCAGCAAACCTGTCCAAAACATTTTTAGAGCTTTGTATCACAGGGACCATGTCTAAATTCATTGAATTTGCATAGAATTTAGTCATCCATGGCCCTGTGACTGTTTTCCCGATTAACCCGAGTGCAATTAATTGAGCAACAACCCTAGGGTCATCCAGCTCTTCCTTAATGCTTTTTTTAAGGTTGGTGCCTCCTAATTCAACAAATTTCTTCAGCTCTTTCAGATATAAAATTATAATTCCAGCTGAATGGAATAAAATGTGCAACCGGTTACCGACGTACCGAAGGAAAACTCCCACTGGAATATTTTTTTCTCTAAAATAGGTCTTGAACCCGCTAGGGTCTCCACTAGATTGCTTGTATCTGAGCTTGGAAATACTCAAAATACAGTGCAATGTCTTGTTGCCTATCTCAGTATCATTTTCCAATGCTCTTCTGGCACCAGCAGCAAAACTATCTAGCGGATGAACATTGCAGTTCAATTCCAGCAGGTGTGTCTGTAACAAAGTATTCAGCTGGTTTACAACACAATGATTCACAGCTGCCCTATCTGTCACAGTGGATTTAATGGTGGACATAAGAGTTTTGTACAGCTGCTCTAAATTTGGATGATTTATGTATTTACAATATATGTTTACAATATCTTTTAACTTAACACTAATATGTTCTATGTAATCTACAGCTTTACCACCAGGTAAAGGTTTTACATCAACAGCAAGAGTTTTACCTGCAGCAGAAATATGGATTTCATTTACATGACTACCATCAATGGTGGTTGCATCCCATGACAGTGTAGCACCATCAAGGGATGCAAGTGCCTCGCCAACCTGCAGATCAGCTAAAATGCCTATTTCATAAGCCATTTGAGCCACTGTAGATTTGCGAGGCACGCAGTCAAGTTTCATTCCAGCTTCCTGCTCCAGGAAAAACTGTAATAGCTGTCCAGCAGCTAACACAGAAACATTTTTCAACAAAGATTGGTACATACAAATTCTCATAGAAGTACCATAATGCTTTCCTTCTTTGGTTACAATAGTTTGTCCCTCTTCTTGGGGTTCTTGCATGTTGATGGCATTATCATACATTAATTCTAAATCATTGACCATTGATTTTAAATTTTTGATGGTTTTGTTTTTGATCTTGACCACATTTTCTAGTGCTTCAATTTTTCTTTCTCTTCTTGATAATTTTTTCTTTAAACTGGCAACTTGATTCAGTTTCATTTTGTATTGGATGGAATCTGCAAACGGATTGCAGTTAAGTTTTTTTTTAATCTCTACTTTCTCTGCTTCCAACTGTCTATTCTTTTTCTCTTGTTTGAGGAGTCTGTCAGTGAGTCGTTTAATTTTTTTATTTAGATCTTTAATTTGAAAAACTTTATTTGATTGAAGTTCATTTTGATAGAATTTTAAACTAGTTTTCAATTTTTTATTTGATTTCAATAACTGTTCTGTAGACTTTCTTTTGTATGCACAACTTACACAGTCTTGTTTAAGTTTTAAAGGTGAGGCTTGTTTTGGGGGGATTAGTGTTGTTATTAATTCAGGTGCTAACTTAGAGACAATCCCCTTTTCTTTAGGTACAGGCTCTTGAAATGGCATTTCCATAAAATTTATAATTTTATCCCATTGTGCTTGTGGCTTAAGAGATCTAAATTTAACACATAATCTGTTGATTTTATTATAAAGTTGATGACTGTTACTTGACGCTGGTATTATTTCTTCCAAAACTTGCACTGCCTTTTTAATTTGTTTTTTATTTTCATACCATACATGAATTATATGGCCTTGCTTTATGCCAGCTGCTGTCCGAAAGTCAGAATACTGATTAATCAGAATTGGTAAATCTTTGGCAGAATGCTTATCAGGGCTCCCAGAGCCTGTAGATTTACCACCTGCTGAAGTATTCATTTCCTCATCCATACTCTTGATCATATATCTAGAGGAAAAGAAATCAACATTAATACTACTGTAAAAGTAGAATTTATTGTTTTAATAGAGGCAAGTGTGTAGCATAATAAAGTAAGGCTTAGTAAGGGATAAGGAAATATATATATGCTTAAAATAATTTCTTTTCTTGAGTGGTAATTTATTATTGGTTATTAGCTTGATGTGCAAAAAAAAAACCCACTGGCTTTCTTCAACAGCCTTTAACATATTTATACATCTTTTATTTTTAAAAGGCAATCATTCATTTGCAATAAACTCTACGATTAAGGAACAAGTGAACATTTATAAAGGCGACGCCGGCCCCCACGCCCCTATAGGCTTTCCGGTCTCGCCATATTTTTTTTATTATAAAATGGCGTTATTGTGGTGAATCAAACACTCTTTTTTCGGTCAAAATACCAATAGAAAACGTACCTCAAATTAGATGAAATCATTATTAACTTATAATATACATAATGCAATTTTTGAGAATACAAAGAGATAGCTTGATAAACTCACCTTTCTATCAAAAGTTGTCGTTGAAACACGCACAAAATTAGACCACGTTTCGCAATATTATAACTTGGAGAAGGAAGAGAGAAAAGTAATGCAGTTAGCAGTTTAAAATCACACATTATTTCATTAAATTGGTGAAAAGTTGGCCCGACTACGAAATTGAATCGATTACTTTAAAATCCCTATATTTTCTCACTATGTATTTCAATAAGGAAGATAATCGACGAAATTTTACAATAGCGAAATTCCCCGGTTGCCGTTCTTAAAGCAAGATGGCGGCGATGCCGACATCGCTACATTAATTACACAAATTCTAAAAGTTTAAAATTTAAAAAAAAATTGCGGTTAAAGATTATTTCTATATAATCCCATATTAAGAATTAAACAAAAATCATGTTTACCGAAATACAACATTATTAAGTTAAATGTAATTGCGTCTAACCTATTTATCATTTATTATGATTAAAGTAGAAAAGTATTTGCTGTGTTTCCTTTGTTGAGTTGTGTAAAACACTTTAATTTTAATATAGGGCTACTTAGAGTTAAGTTTTGGATTTTTTAATACTAGTCTATTATTATTCATGATTTTCTGTTACTTTTATCAGAAAGATCTTTAATTTTAATATCCATAAACACAATGCACCCAATTTCATTATCCTTCACCACAAAGAATAAGAAACTGAATGATTTACTAAGTAGGCTTAATTACAAAATTTAAATCAATCTGAAGAAAATATAAACAATCTTACTAGAGTGTCTGCCTTCTGCTCCAATATTAGGCTCAATTTCTTCAAATTCATTGACTGGATTATCTGCAAGAATAAGAAAAGAAAATATTTTCACTTTAACATTAAAAGTTAGATATTTAGTAATGTAAACTGAGAACATTTTTTTTCAAAATAATTCTTTTCCCTAATATTTATCAAGGATTTTTAAAAATTACATTGTAACAAGTTACTGATAAAGTATTAAATTAAACTAAAATAATATTTAAATTAAAAAAAATAGTTTCAATTAATTAATTTTAATTATGCTTTGTAAATTCCGACAGGTTTAACAATAAATATGTTATTTGATCAGTTATAAAACAAACCTTTGGCAACTATTTCTGCATCAGGATTAAAAAAACTAAATCCGACAGGTTTAACAATAAATATGTTGTATGATCAGTTATAAAACAAACCTTTAGCAACTATTTCTGCATTAGGATTAAAAAAATTTTAATCCGACAGGTTTAACAATAAATATGTTATATGATCAGTTATAAAACAAACCTTTAGCAACTATTTCTGCATCAGGATTAAAAAAATTCAAACCACGTGTTGGTTTCACTTCTTCTCTGTGCTCATTTTTATCAACCTGTGTGTTCAGCTCAACTTTTGGTCCTGGTAGCTCCACAGTTTCTTGATTCTTCACCTCATCATCCTCCCCCACATCATAATTCTCAAAAACACTCTCTGCTGTGTTGTCATTTTTAATGACTCCTTCACCTTGTATAATTTGAGATCCAGTGGAGCTGTCACTGCTTGATGATGAAGAAGAAGAAGAAGAGGATGATGACTCTATTGATGTTAGTGATGGTGAGTGGGTCAATCTTTCTTCTTGTTTAAATTTCTCTTCATCTGCCACCAGGTCCTTTTCTAGACTTGGTTGGTGTATATTTTTTTCAGCACTCTGGGAGTTAACAGATGTCTCGGTCACTGGATGAACCGGTCCTGTCATCTGTTTCTGCTGAGCTGGAGCATGTGGGGCTTCAATATTCTCACTCACATGTGTAGCCTGTACCAAAACATAATGCAGATTTTTATGGTCTAATAAATATTTCTTATTTAAAAAATTATTTCATGTACAATATGAAATTCCTTCAATTTAAAAAAAAAAAAAAATTTCAAAGATTCAAAGGTAAAGAAATAAAAGTAAAAAACTATTACAGGAGTTTTTGCTGCCAAAATTTAAACTATGCTAAATTATGCTAAACATTTTTACAATGCTTACATGGTGAATCTACTTCATCTGCACTATTGACTTTCAGGTCCTAAAGTGTTGCTTTACAGTTTATTTTTTTTAACTATTATTTTCCACAAAATATCAAACCCAAATTATATTTTTCTGTTGCTACAATGCATTGATATTTCAGCACAATCCACATATTTCTAACTTGAAGAACACAAAAAAAAATTGCATTGAATTTGAAAGTATTTTTGTTTAGTATGAAAATGTACCTTGGCTTGAGGTATGGCGGGGGGTGCAGTGAATGTGTCATCCTCATCACTGCTGCTGGAGGAATCAGAGGAACTGGAGGAGTCAGATGATGATGATGAAGATGCCACACTAGAAGATTTTACACTACCAGGTGGGCTGACTTTAACACCAGGTGGGCTGCCAGGTGGGCTTACTTTACCACCAGGTGGGCTGCCAGGTGGGCTGACTTTACCAACATGTCGGCTGACTTTAACACCAGGTGGGCTGCCAGGTGGGCTGACTTTACCACCAGGTGGACTGCCAGGTGGGCTTACTTTACCACCAGGTGGGCTGACTTTACCACCAGGTGGGCTTCCAGGTGGGCTCACTTTACCAACATGTCGGCTGACTTTAACCCCAGGTGGGCTGCCAGGTGGGCTGACTTTACCAACATGTCGGCTGACTTTAACCCCAGGTGGGCTTCCAGGTGGGCTGACTTTAACCCCAGGTGGGCTGACTTTGCCATTATCAACTTCATCTGTTGAAAACAAATACCAACAAAATGTCAGTAATTTAAACAGTAAAAGATTTTTTAATAAACATAACAAAATTTTAATATTGTCAAAACAAAATAGTATGTGTAAAAAAAACAGAATTTATTTGTTATAATTTATTTACCATAATCAAGAATTCTAATGCTGTCAAAAAATGGCACTGCAAAGGGTTTTTTTGGTTCTAAGAGAGAAATTAAGAAGAAAATAACATGTTATTCAGAAGAAAGAAAACAATAGCTTCTTATTTCCAAGACTAATAACTTTATGTTCTGATTAAGCATAAAAGAAACTAGCAAAATTCTCAAATCTTTATTTTGTCATTAATTGCATTTATTTTTAACTGTGGTGATTTTATATACTACATTTTTTCATATAGATGTGCATGAAAACTGCAACATTGGTGACAGTGTCACAAAACAAAAAACTATTAATTCTACTCTAAAAACAAATATTTGCATTTGTGGTCACTTGCAGAGTTAGTTTTCACCTTTTATTTTGACAGTTATAAATCCTATAAAGTTTCTGATATTGCACCAAATGACCACAACAGCACATTGTGAATTTTTATATTTTTAAAAATAATTAGTTTGTGAGTTTTAGAAATAAACAATCTAGAATAAAAATGATAAAAAGTACAAATAAAAAGACTAACCATTTTCACTTCCTGTTTTAACATCAAAATCATTTTTCCTCTTGTCAACAATTGGAATATTCTTGACTTCCTTTTTCTTTTCTAAATTTTTTTATACAAATTTGAAAATTACAAGCAAAAAAATTTGAAAATTTATGAGCAAATCTTTAGGAAAACTACAAGCAAAATAACATAAATATTTATAGCAAAAATAGACAAAAACTTACAAGAAAAACCAATTAGAACTAAAACTATATTTAAATTATTTATGTAGGTAATTATATTACTTGGAATTATTTTTCTGCATTTTCATTCTATATGAGATTACTTTTTTTTTTCAAATCATTTATTCATGATAACTATTTTTGCTGTATGAAATCTTCGATGAATGTCCAAGATTTACCAACATAAATTATTGCTGTTAGCTGCAGGTGGTGACTGGTTTGATTTTATATAAAACTTTCTACTTACCCTCATCATCACTACTGTCACCACTGCTGTCACTGCTGTTACTGCTAGTGTCACTGCTCTTGTCACTGTCATCTTGATCTTCCTTATTCTTTGTCTGAGCATTTACCTCATCTTTCTTCAGTTTTTCTAATTTGTCCAGCTGAGCTTTCTTTTTTTCTATTTAAGAAGATGTTAAAATAAGAAAAACATTTATTTTTTTATTTTTAAGAACACTTAATAATTTTCACAATCTTTTTTGGTAGGGAATCTTCACAAAAAATGTTAATACAATAACATTTTAAACATAACAACACAAATTGAAACTGTATCTAATTTACTGTCTATTTAAAAAAAAAAAATATCTTGAGCAAACAAATCTTATATATCTTTTCCAGACCAAACTTTACCATGTTTCTCCACTCCCAGATTTTTATTTTTTAAAAAGTAACACACTTTCAATAGCTTTTATCATTTGAAAAACCAGACAAAATTTGACCAAAGCAATATTATTAAACTAATCATAATTTAGAATCTAAAATTAGGTGGAAAAACTATTAATAAACCCCACCATCATCACTTCCTGTTTTATTTCTTGTACCACTCAGTTCCACTGTGGGCTTTTGCTTCTCTTCAGTCTTTGTTTGTTTCGTTTGTGTTTTGGATTCTGGGAAAATTAATGTTAGCTTAATAATATTGATTAGTGTTTTATTGATTACATGTTGAATAATGAATAAATACTGTCAGTGTGGGTAGAATCATGGTTAAATTAAATAGAAAGATCAAAATTTTATTAGTTACATTAGAAAAAAATTGCTTATAATTTAATTTTTACCCTACTTATTTAAAATATAATTCTTACCCTCATCACTGCTGTCACTACTACTGTCACTGCTTTTGTCACTGACATCCTCAACAGACACGACCTTTGACCCAGATTGAACCTTCTGTATTTTTTCTTGTTTAGCTTTCTGTGGCTTGGGTTTATCTTTAAGACATTACAAATATTATAGCCAAAAACTTAAATACATATCTATAAAAAAATAAAGCTTATGCATGGCTCTGATATAAAAGTAGAGAACATTGAATATAATATCCCTATAATATCCCTAACATTTTATTTGGACATTTTTCTTGATAAATGCCTATGTTTTTACTACAAGAAATATACTGAGATTTTATTGGGTAAATCACAAAAATCTAATGGGACAGCGTGGCCTAGCGGTGGAGTGCTTGACTGCTAACCCGATAGTTACGAGTTCGAATCCGAGTTCAAGTTAGTGGAACGTCCCTGACTCCACCCAACTCTGATGGGTACCTAATTCACGTTAGGGAAAGTAAAGATAGCTGGGCATAGTGCTGACCACATTATCCCTTTATATGCCAAGGTAAAGAAACACATGAACTCCACTTCATTTGCCCAATGGATCATTAGGTCTAAAGAGGAATCTTTTAATCACAAAAATCATAGCACGTAATCAGGCCTAGTAAAGATTATGAACAAGTTATATTTTTACTTTCATAAATAATATAAATATGTGGTTTAATTATTGGTATAAAAATGATAAAGAAAAAAGACACACCATCATCACTTCCTGATTTTTCTTTCGCCTCAGTCACTTCTACTGTAATTTTTTTCTTCTCTTCATGTCTTTCTTTTTTAATTTTATTTTCTAAATATAAACATTTTTTTAAAAAAGAAATGCTATTTTATTAAAAATAAGAATAGACAAAGAATTATAAGAATCAATTTGGTCAAAATACACAGATTTAGAGGTTTTTTTTTAACTTTATCAAATTATTTTGGGAAATAAATTAAAATTAAATTAAGTGAAAAGAAATTTTTTTTTCAGGTGCCTTAAAAGTCATTTAATTAAGCTTTGTTCAGATAGAATCTACATAGAAACATGCTTTTTCCTTAGTATGAAATATTAACTCCAATAAAATAGATGCAGCTATTCCTTCAAAGAGCTACATCTGTTTGCTGACGACTGTCTTTAAGAAAACTAAATACAATGTATGCCCTTATGCCTACCATCATCACTGCTATCACTACTGCTGTCACTACTGCTACCACTGCTGCTCTTGTCACTGTCATTTTTTAGCATCACATGTTTTTTCTGAGCTTGTTCTTTCTCAACTTCCTTACGTCCACTCGCAGGTTTCTTCTTATGATCTATTTAGAAAATAATATAAAGATGTATAGAATTACAAAATAAATGCTACAGCTTTAGTGCATGGAATGCAGGAAATAAGTAATATTTTTAAACTCTACACAGGATTTTTCTACAACTTTAGCATGAGTGTTATGAGGTGTGTTATGTGTGTGTGGGAGGGGAGGAATAAGGGATTCCAGCTTCATTTTGGGTAAGGCATGGCCTAGAGTTAGAGCGCTAGACTGCTATCCTGAAAGTCTCGAGTTCAAATCCAGGTTCAAGTTAGAAGAACATCCCTGAGTCTATGCAACTCTAATGGAACTCACATCAGGGAAAGAAAAGATGGCTGAGCACTATACCCTGATATGCAGATGTCACAGAAACATGTAAACTCTACTTCAATTGCTCCTTGGACTGTCATGTTCGAAAAGGGATCCAGAGGTGTAGCAACCCTTCCCGGCACCCGGGGACAAACTTTCGATTTGCACCCCCCCTCAAGCTTTCAATTTATTTTTTCAACCCATTTTGGTGCCCCCTAAGGTTGGCGCCCGGGGACATATATCCCCCGCCAGCCCCCCCCCCCCCTCGCTATGCCTCTGAAGGGATCTTTACATTTTACCTACATTTTAGAATTAACTGCCAAGGTTAAAGTAAAACAGAAAGCAAATTACATAACAAACCTACCATCATCACTTCCTGATTTTTTTCTTGTATCAGCCATATCAACTGTTTTTGTCTTCTTCTCTACAACCTTCATTTGCTCTTTTTGTTTTTTGGATTCTGAGGTTTCTGTGTTTTAAAAAAAATGAACATATATTGTGGAATGGTTTGACAGTGTGTAGAGCTTATGGCTTATAACCTGAAAGTCTCAAGTCTCATGGAGGAAAAATTTGAACTACAAAACTGTGTTTAGAAAAAAAAAATAATGAACATATATTGTCGGATGGCTTGGTCGGTGTTTAGAGCTTATGGCTTGTAACCTGAAAGTCTCAAGTTCGTATCCCAGGCTTGAGTCTGTAAGAGATCCCTAAGTCAAATCAGCTCTGATGAGTGTCCCATGTTGGGGAAACTAAGGTGGATGGGCATAGTGCTGACTACACTATCTCCCTGTCTGTAGGGGGAACTAAACTTCTGCTTCATTTGCCCGATGTGCCTTGGGCATGAACAGGAAAAAGATGATGATCATTGAAGTTGAATTAATTGCGCTCAATATTTTACAATAGCTTATGAGGGTAATATTTTAATTAAAACTATTATAATACAGTTTTAAAAAGTTAATTCCTACTTTTGTCACTGGCGTCACTGCTGCTGTCACTGTCACTGCTTTTGTCACTGACATCCTTAACCGGCACAATCTTCGACTTGGCTTGAACTGAATGTTCTTTCTCTTGTTTAGTCTTCTGTGGTTTGTCTTCTTCTGTAAAGTATTAGCAGAAAAATAAACACAAATCAGAAGAAAAAAATTGAAGAGAAGGAACAAAAAAAATTCAGAAAGGGAAAAAAAAAATTTCTGAAGAAAACAAGGGAAATCAGAATTTAAAATAACAGAATTCAAAAAGAAAAGGCAGAATCAAGATAACAAAAACAGAGTTTAGATGGAAAAAAATAAATAGAAGGAACACAAAAAATTCCAAATAGGAAAAAAAAAACAGTATTCAGAAGAAAAAAAGAGAAATTAGAATTTAAAAAAACAGAATTCAGAAAGAAAAAATAGAATTAAGTTTAGACGGAAAAAAATCAGAAGAAAAAACATAATTTAGAAGGAATATTTAAAAGAAAAAAACAATCAGACGAAAAAAATGGAATTCAGGAGAAAGAAAAAAGAGAGACAGAATTCAGAAAAAAAAATTACATTAGCAGAAAACAATGCAAACAAAACATACAAATAATTACTGAGCTTATGTTTGGATTGATACAAAAGAGTAAATGGAAAAAAAAACAAGTACATTATTGCATGTAGTGTATCTCAGTCCACTTAAAAAATATATATGTTACATTAAGAAAGTAAACACTGCAAACCATATCCAAGTCTTAAAAGTATTTCTTGTTGCTTCCACATCCAGACGTTTACTACACAACAGCTGATTGTATAACACAGTGAGTGGCAAATGTGATGTTACATAACACAATTGCTTCCCTTACCAACTTTTATCTTATTTACAATACCATTCATTTTAACTTCAAATACATTTGCTTTTACAATAGATCTTTTAAAACAATGAGCTTTCCAAACAAGAAAACTATCATTGTATACACATCATAATGAACACATTTTAACTTTTAAAATGTCTTGTTTTAAACTGCAAAACCAGGAACTGAACATTCAAGTTTAACTGCATGCACACAAAGAACAACATATTTCTTCTCAACTTAGAAAACATGAAAACAACAACTTCAGAGTTTGCTAACATTGTTTTATTTTTTAAACTGTATAACAACCAAAATAAATTAACATTCTACATCACTTCTAGTAAAAGGACAGTGATCACTGGGTCTCACAAAGCTCACAGTAGCAGAGAATTAATACACAGACCAACTAACAATTTTTTAGCATTTAAATTTAAAAAAGAAAAAACTGGCATAAAAAGAGAGTGTTTGGCCTGCCAGATTTGGCATACTAGTTTAAGAAGAATATGCTTCTAAAACGTGAGGAATTAAAATGTGTATATTACTGGTTAATTTAATCAAATTGAAAATAACTTATTAGAAGCTATAACTGAAGAGAGAAAACATGTTTTATGGCTACATTGTTTATTGCCATAGTTGTCTTTTTTATTTAAAAAATTTTTATTTCACATTAACTGCTTATTAGTTAAGTTATTAGATTTCTTCAGAATTTCTCTTTGATGTAATATTTAACTTGATGAAGGTCTGCAGTATGACATATAAACGAAATTAACAATTTTCAATATAATGATACATGATTTCAATATGTAACTTAATATTTACACAGGTAATGGATACAATCAAAATTGTGTATGAAATGAATTATTCTAGAGTACTATATACAATATTATTAAAAAAAAAACAATAGTTTCTTTATAAAAAGAAATTACAAATAGATAAACCACATCAATGACTATACAAACCTAAATGTAGTACCTTAGCCAATAATAAATCAGTTTGTTTTACTTGTAAATTCGACTAGCAATGTTGCATAACATAAACAGAATTAAAATAAACATAAAACTTAATAATCAAATTATCTTCTAAAATATCCAACAAAAACTCTTCATAATTAAGCTGGATCATCAACTTTTCTTTTAAAACAATCACACAGGATCATCTAATTCAAACTTAAGATCAATATCTTCATTCAACCACAGGTCATCCTCTAACAAAGCTTTCTCTGCCATTAGCTCCTTAACGCTATCGTTTTCTTCTTCATTTAGTCTTTGTTCATGAAGCAAATTTACAATATCTGGATCATCTAAATCAGTGAGCGCATCTGTCATATCAACTTCATATCTTTTGGAGGGCTCTCCATGTTCATTGTCCCCTGCTATTGAGCTTGAGTTGCCAGATATATTGCTCTCTGAACTTTGAAAATTGTATCTGATTTGATCTGTGCTTGAAACATCACTGGCCATTCTCTTGTCTTCATTTTCATCAAACATTATTCCACTGAAGTTGCTAACGACACATTTTTCATTAACATCTTCAATTACAGTTTCAGCATGATGAATATTTTCTGCTTCATCGTTTAAGTTAAACTTGACAACTGTATCAACATGTTGAATATCTTCTTCTAGTTCATTAGAAGAGTTAAGCTCAACAGTTTCATCACACTGAATATTTTCCACATTATTAGATGTGTCAACATTTGGAATATCTTCCACATCATTAGAAGAGTTAAGCTCAACAGTTTCAACATGATGAATATTATCTACATAATCAACTATTTCAACATGTTGAATATCTTCAACATCATCAGCAGTTTCAATATGTTGAATATCTTCAACATCATTGACAGTTTCAATACATTGAATATCTTCCACATCATCAAGTGTTTTAACGCGTTGAATATCTTCCACATCATCAACTGTTTCAACACGTTGAATATTTTCTACATCATCAACTGTTTCAACATGTTGAATATCATCCACATCATCAACTGTTTCAACATGTTGAATATCTTCTACATCATCAACTGTTTCAACATGTTGAATATCTTCTACATCATCAACTGTTTCAATATGTTGAAGATTTTCCACATCATCAACTGTTTCAACACATTGAATATCTTCTACATCATCAACTGTTTTAACATGTTGAAGATTTTCCACATCATCAACTGTTTCAACACGTTGAATATCTTCTACATCATCAACTGTTTCAACATGTTGGATTCCATCCACATCATCAGCTGTTTCAACATGTTGAATATCTTCTACATCATCAACAGTTTCAACACGTTGAATATCTTCTACATAATCAACTGTTTCAACATGTTCAACATCTACATCATCAAGTGTTTTAACATGTTGAATACCTTCTACATCATCAACAGTTTCAACATGTTGAATATCTTCTACATCATCAACCGTTTCAACATGGTGAATATCTTCTACATCATCAAGTGCTTCAAAATGATAAATATCATCCACATTATCAACAGTTTCAACATTTTGAATATCCTTCTCATCATTAAACATTTCTACATGTTGAATTACTTCCACATCATCAACAGTTTGAACATGTTCAACATCTACATCATCAAGTGTTTTAATGTGTTGAATATCTTCCAGATCATCAACTGTTTCAACATGTTGAATATCCTCTACATCATCAACTGTTTCAACATGGTGAATATCTTCCACATCATTAATTGTGTCAACATGCTGCATATCTTCCGCATCATTAACATGATGAATATCTTCTACATCATTAGCTGGGTCCAACATATCAACTGTTTCATTATGTTGAATCTCTTCCATATCCTTGCCAGTATCAATAAGTTGAATTTCTTCTGTTTCAATATTTGGGTTGAACTCATCAACACCATTACCATGTTGAGTCCCCACTTCATCACCAACAATATCAACATGGTTGTGATCTTCCACACCATCAGAAGGACTAACATCATCAATTGTTCCAACATCCTGATCATTAAAATTTAGTTGAACTTCATCTTCTTTGAAAACTTGACAACTCTCCAATACATCTTCTGTGAGAACATTTTTTTCAAATAAATCTGGCATTAATGATAAGGGTGGTAACTCATCCTGACCAAATGTTCCAATTAAATTTGAATCGACATATTTTTCTTCATGAACATTCATTGGTAATCCATGCTTTTCATCATTTTCATCTTCTCTGATATCTTCTTTTAATGAAGCTTCTACTCCTTCTATTTCTCTTGAAGTTTCCAATATAATCCTTGCATCATCTGCATTGTCTATGGTTGGAGGTGTAGTGCTCATTCCATCAAACTCTTGACTGAATCTCACCCTACCTTCTTGATGTTTGCTGCTCCATGTTGTAGTTGAGCCTGAGGATGTTGCACTCCTCGAATCTTGCTCAGTTTGATCAGTGATATCAGACCTTGGGCTATCCGGTTCAGCTAAATTACGAGAGATGGCATTCAAGTCGGGAAGCATGGTAAATTGCTCTTGAATAATGCTATACTGGTCATTATAATTGTTACTAGAGTTCGCATTTTCAAATGCCTGGTCATAATCAGAGTGCTGTAAATTATCATCATTTATTAAAGTATTGGGTGCATTAAGTTCCGGGGTAGATTGTAGTAGTTGATCAGAATACAAATCTTTATTAATGTTACTTTCTATGTCAGTTACTTGAATTCCAGGTGTATTGTCGCCTGTAAATTTAAAGAACAGGTCCATGACTTCTTCAGACTTGCCCTCCCTGTTGAAAATCTCATTCTGTTCTCGCTGTTTTTCTCTCCGTTCTTGCAGAAATCTCAGGTCAGCGACGTCGTACCTGTCCCCGGGGTTCAGTAAAGACAAGACCAGCGGCTCTGGTGGAGCTGGAGCCGTCTCCGCCTGATCCTCCGAGCTGACGATGATTAAGGTGTTCCCGGCTGCGTAGAACTGACTCCCAGTTGCTGGGATTTCACTGAAGGCTTTGTGGTGGCGCACGTATCGATCAGACTCATTGCTGACGTACTTAACGCTAATAATTTCAGCAGACGTGTTGTATTTATCAGCGGTGTCTGTGCTGTTGTTAAAAATGTTTGGTGTGTTTTGATCTTCCGGAATGGCCAGGGTCATTTCCTGGTGTCCTGGTACTACAACGTCAAGGTCTTCAGGTTCACATTGTAAATTGCCATCTGAAACTTCAAATTTTGCCACATGTATTTCTGGTACCTTTAGCATGGATTCTCTTGGAATATTGTCATCGTCAGTATGGATGAAAATCCCAGTAGAATCTTTAGTGTTTGAAGGTAAACAATTATAAGAGAATTCTACTCCATCATTAGTTTCAGTTTTATTGCTTGAATTCTGGTTGCCAATCACTAAATCATCTGGCACATTATTCCCATCATTCTCAAACACCTGTTTCACTTCAGCTAAAACAGAGTTTGTTATTTTGTCAGAAATATCATTGTATTTCAAACTATCATCAGCCGTTTGTTTATCCCGCTTTCGTTGTTTAGCTTTAGAAGATGGCTTCCATTCCTCCTCCATAGTGTATACTGTATGTGATGAAGCCTGGTCCACTTGTACATCTATACTGTCATTTCTACTTATGACATCATTGCCACTATTGCCACAATTTTTGTTTGAATTCTCTACACCTACATCTTTTGGCTCGCTTTCTGTCATATCCACATCATGTTTTTCAGAGAGTTTGATATCCTCCCCCCATTTTTCATTTAATAATTTATTTTTATCTTTCAAAACACTGATGTGAGGAATTTTCGAGGGGTCCACGCTGTTCTCATCTACTTCAACGACTTTATGAATTACTTTCTCACTCTGCACACAAGATGAGCTATCTGAACACTCCCCAAAGTTTCCCGCTCCCTCATCACTGCTGTCACCAACATAACCCCCAATCACATTCTGTCTAGGACTCAGATCTTTTATCTTATCTCCCTTTGATTTGACTTCTGAGCTCTTCAGTTTAGAAGATTCCCTTTTCTTCTTCAAAGATTTTTGTCTTTTCCTTTCTTCCTTTGCTTGCTTCTTTAAGAACTCATTTTCTCCACTTTTCACCATAGGTATGGTAATAATTGTTCCATCAACATATGGATCTGGAGCAACTGTCTCATTTGTATAATTTTCCCTAAGAATTCCAAGCTTCTTATCTTTCTTCTTTTTATGTTTCTTCTCATCATAAACACCACCTCCTTTACCTACCTCATCACTGTTTAATTTTTCATGAGATTTCTTATGTTTTTTATTATGTTTTGTTTCACGCTTATCCCTCTCATTTTTAAATTCCCCTTCACTAAATTTAACCCCATTTTTTTCAACCAACTCTTTTTTTTTTAGACTTTTTTTAACGTCGCTTTCATTATCACCAACCACACAGTCTTGCTTTTCTTTTCTTTTTTTAGACTTATGACTTGTCTCAAGGCTGCTCTTACTTCTATCACTCTTCAAATTTTCCTCAAAACTTGTGTCCCTTTTCTCAGCCCTCGTTTCGGTAGATGTTTTAGAAGCTCCAGGTTTACCACTGGATTCACTGTTAGGCAGGGTATCAATGTCCAAATTTGAATTTGTTGAAATATTTGTATTTCTAGGTACAGGAACAATTTCAGACTCAATATCCGAGACTTCATCAGCAGTATCCGCATTGTCGTTACAAACATACTCCTTTTGAATATCCGGTTCAATGATATCCTTTACATTATTTTCCTTATCAACAGATTTACTTAAGCCATTTTCTTCCTCTGGGTAACTTGAACCTGAGCCAGAACTTTCAGAGCCAGACAAGCTGTTCACATTAATAGCTGGGATAACCCTGTTGTTATATTTTCTAGGTCCTTCAGACATACTTTGAGATAAAGAAGCTGTTAATTTAGCCTTTTGTTCCCTGGATTGCTGGACTATCTTCCTACTTTTTAAAACAACTTTTCCAAGAGTAGGTAACTTTGTAAAGAATGGTTGGTCCCTTTTATCAGATAAAGATGGCAAAGTTGGAATACTTTCTTTAAGACTTGGGTTATCATGTTTTAACTCTTTATTCTTTCTCAATCCTCCCTTGTCATGCTGACTGCCCATCAAATCTGATGATTCTGAACATAAGAAAAATTGAATTTGTTTTTTTTTGTTTCAATTTTATATGTTTATAAATTCTTATTTATTAGTCTTGTCATTTAGGTATGAAGAAGATCTTTTACTTTTTTTCATTACACTTATTAAAATGAAATTTAATAAAAAAAATTTATATGTTTCATAAAGGTTAATTTAAAATGTTACAAATATAGTAGTGTTGTAAATTTTTTATTTAAAGTAAAATGTATGCTAATTACCTAAGATGTTGAAGATTGCTAGCTATTACACTACAGTAAAGCTAAATAAGAGCATTTTTGTAACAAATAAGTATACTCTGGCTTAGGAGAAAAAAAGTTCATGAAGTTGAAGCTGAGTTGCGGATAGTAGTAAGAAGAGTGGACCAAAAAATATGGCATACATTTGGAAAATTAACTGGCCAATTAATTATTTTTGAAACAGCAGATATAAATACTAAGTAGCAAACAGTTTTAACTATCATTTATACTTACAAACTGCAAAATTCTTTTACAACTATTTACTTTGTATTTTTAAAATTGATATTGAGTTCAAGATTAAAAGAATCTAAGATTTAGATTAAATATATGATTTTTAAAAAAAATGACAAAAGAAATAAGCTTAGCAAGATATTCCTTAACTACTTTAAAGTTGAAACTGATTAAAAAACATATTTCACGACTTCTTTGACATGCTCTAGCATTAAATAAAAATAAAAATGTTAACAATAGTGAATAATTTCTTCTTTGTTCTTAATTTTAGTGTTAAAAAGAATTTCCTCCAACACGATTAAGAATTCAGTGGCATCATGTTATGTGCAAGATAGGTCATTCACTCAGAATTGACTTTGATGAAGAAACTGAAATCTAAATCAGTGGAACAAATAAAAACAGTGGCCACCAATTCTTTAAGACTCAGGTGAAGTCTGTTTGGTACAGGTGAAAATAACAAATTATGTAGACCTACAAGACATTCTTGGACTTTTGGGGAAAGTTCGCATATTATGAGTAGTACTGGTTAAATAAAGTAAAAATTGTTGTAGAATACTGTGACAAATACAAGTGTACATTATCCCAACAAAATCATGAAAACTTCATTAAGGAAACTAATAGTAAATGAAGCTGATTAATATAATTTAATGTACTTGTAAAACAGGAGTAGAAATACAGGACATTACAAATTATTGTAAAAAGGTGACAGCAAAAGAAACTGACTGTTTTTCAAGACAATATCCTTATTCACAAGAGAGCTTTCCTTTATGGTTAACAAAACATGAACATTAATTTTTTAAGACTTTTTCTAAACAATGTAACCAAATTATGTAAGATACAGATGTAGTGTAATAACTAGCTTTTATCAACAAATCAATCAAAGGAAATGACATAATAATATGTTTTTTTAATAGCGTATACCAACCTGGAAATACTCTGGAACTTCTGAAGGTCATGCTGAGGTTAATGTGAACACCACAGGTGAATGGACAGGTGAAAGTTCATAGAAAACAAAGTCTAGATGAAATATTTCCCTAATAGTGCAAGCCATGTGATTTTGAATGCCCATATATAAAAAAAAATCATAAGCAAATCATCATAAAATCGGAGTGTAAATTATTTAGTTATAGAATAATTTACAAATTAAAACAGAATAAATATTCCTTTTGAAATCAAATGTTTTAAATGCCATAATGCTTTTAGTTGAATATGCATGAAATAATTCATGCCAGATTTATTTACAACACTACAACAAAACTTCCTCAGTGTCCTCATACATTGCTACCTTTAATTAGATCTAAATCTTTTTTTTTCAAAAAAAATTGCACATTGCTTAATTTATAAGTGTGGTTTATTGAAGTTATTAGTAGATATTATACAAAATATATAATATATAATGAATATAAAAGACCAGTACACTAGCGAGCTAAAACTTAAAAATGGCTCTGTTGGTCAAAAAATCTTTTAATATGTTTAAAGAGCAAAAAATAAAATAATTGACTTTAAAGCTAGTACTATTATTATAGTTTTTAATATACAATTTAAGGCACTAGACTAAAAAAAGAAGTAACCAAAATACATAAATTGTAATGGTAAAAAGAGTTTTTTTAAATGAGATTTTAATCTTGAAATACCAGTAATTAAGTATTAAATATTATTTTTTCAATTGTATGTTTAGCTGATATACATAACAATTGCTTAAAAATTAAGGCCATAATTTAATTTTCAATTAATGTTAAATCATAATAAATGATTTAGATGAGTAGAATAGAGCTTTGGTGTGAGTTGAATATTAGTAATTAATGTATTTCTTTCATTTATAACAAAAATAACTCTGAAATGAAGAAAAAGTGTGAAGAAATGAGTGAAAACTTCTAATTTCTTTCACAACTAAAACTTATACAAAAACTTGCTTAGAGATCAAAATCAACAAACACTTCTATTGTAAAGAAATGCCTGAATTTTAAAAAAAATGTCTTGTACAAAATGAAGAATAACCCATACGTCTGATGATTTTCCAGTAGATAACACATCAAGAAATAACAGTAATTAATGCGATTGATTAGCATGTGGACAGCTGCATTGTAAGTTTATAAAATAGTTACTTGAGAATGAAAAATAATTTATTTGCATTTCATTTTCTTACTGTAATTTATTTTAAACAGGTAATTTTATTTTATATTTTTTCAATACAAACTAAATTTTTTAGTAGTGAAATAGTTCTGTTTTTTCACCTGCCAGCTTAGCTTTTGATCAAGGAATAATTTTTGATCTAATAAAATAACACGAAGTTTATCTCAACCCATAATGTAACCCTAACCTAAACCAAAACACTCTGCCCTCTACATAACACTGATATTGGATACCACATAATGTTACAGTTAGCTACTCAACAGCTGAAAGTATCAAATTAACTACAACTTAAACTTTTTAAACATTTAATTAATCAAGTATCAAAAGTGAAGAAAAATAACATTAAAAAATTATGTCTGTGATTTAAACTGTGAAACAAGTATCTCATTATTTTATAAAGTTGAAAGGGAAATATGTTATTTACCTTCTGACTCTGAGTCTGAAGAAGATGAACTGCTGCTACTGCTTGACTCAAAATCATCATCATAGGATCCTACAGAGATTAAGTCAATATATAAGCAAAATTTGTATATACCCCAACTCCTAATTTTTCATCTGTTTTAATAAATACACATTTACGATGTAAGCTTCCAATATTTTAAGCAAAAACAGAAAAATGTTGCTTTTTATTTTAACCAAACTCACCATTAGTTTTGTTTTCATCTACTTCAACTGGTACAAAATTTTGTTTCCGCTCTTTATCTGTGATGTTATATAATATTTATTCATTAGAGGATTCACATACTTAGTTAATTATTGTAAGATTTAACTTAAGTTTGTCTTCATTGTCATTGGTGTAAAATATCAAATTTATTATTTTTTGAACTCTTAAGAATTTTTAAATTACTAATTATATATGTTATTTTTTATATCTAAAAATGTGTTAAAATAGAATCCAAAATAACTAATACTATTTAAATTTTGCTTAAAAGTTAAAAAATGGTGAAAGGTTTTTTAAAACTCTTAACAGCTCTAAATTAAATTATGTTATTTTTAATATCTAAAAACAAGTTACAATGGAATCCAAAAAAGACGAATACTATTCAAATTTTACATAAAAATTCAAAACTTTTGAAAAGAGGTTAAATTTGCAAACAAACCTTTGGCTTCTGGTGAGGGTGGTGATGGTTCTTCCTTGTTTGTCTCCACATACTCCATCTCCTCCTGCTGAGGCTCTGGTGTCTTCGTTTTCTTCTTTTGATTTGACTTAGCGGCCTTTGATTTCTTTTCAATATGACATCTACATAAAAATGTAAATAAATGCTTAAGAACTCCATTCTCAATCAATTAGATGTAGAAATATTCAAGGACTCATATTTTAAATCTAGTTAACTTTATTTTTCTGTTTTGAATTGTAGCATTTACATTAACTTTTGTACATTTTGTACAAACATTTTTAAAAAACTTATTTTTAAAGTAATATTTCAATTTTATTCAGAGACAGGGCAAGTTTTTAAGGATAAAATATAATCAATGTACGACTAACTTGAAGCAGGGAATAGCGTGAGCAATTTTTGTGATGCTAAAGTGTCCAGATTTGCCTCCGACCCGCACGCCTTTCTTGTGTCTGTACTCACAGCAAGTGCTGACACGACAGTCCACCTGACCATCAATGTAGATGGTCAGGCTAAAGGGGAAACTGCGATGTCGATGGGAGACAAAAGAGAATTTTGCTGCGGAGACAAAATTAGAATGTTTTGAGTTAAAAATGTTAAAAAATAATATTTAAATAGAATGTTAAAAATAGTCTTTTAGAATACTGACTACTAACAATGTTAGTTTAAATCTTTAAGATAACTAAGAGGGCAAATTCATAATTCTAAATATAATATTTCTATCAGAAAACAATCTAAAAGTTATCACTGATTCATTATATTTTACAAAAAACAGGACTGTGGGCTAAATTTAAAAAATGTTTTACATAAAATTAACCCTAAGTAATATTTTTTTACCTTTTTTTTATTAACAATTACCAATAGACATATTTTTTCAAAACATGCTTGATTTTACCCTCATATTTATTTATTTCTAACGAGCTGACCCGCGGCATATCATACGCCGCTATTTAGTTGTTTTATTTTCTACTTTTCAGTAATTCATAATTTGTGAATTCGACAGTACCAATGCTGCCACTGAAAATATTTGCTTTAAAACACTATCAGTAGGTCATTAAGGACGATACTACTCCCACCCTCCTTTCCCCCAACCCCTACCCTACACCCCCCCCCCCCGTGAAAGCAGCCTCCTCTTAGTTTCCTCCCCTAAGTTTAAAATCGTTTCAAACTAAATTATCTGTGCCTAGTAGCCGTCACTAAACCCGGCTTTACGATTGTAAACATTTAGCGTGTACCAAAGCTCACCAGACCATGTAGGGGTGGGGGCGGTAGGGAGCGTGCTTACAGCTTGTTTTCTAGCGTCTCCAAGAAGAGAATTATATATATAGATTATCACAACAAACGTACAATTGGGTTCCAGACGGTCTTTGAAAAGTGTCAGAGTGTTTCCTCCATTGTGTTGCTGCAGGACTGTAATCTCTTGTTTCTTGTCAAATTGTTCCCGAGCTAGATGCAAGTTCCCCCCATGATAGATCATATCCACAGTGCATTCCACTCTTGGCTGTTTTGAATGGCGCTTTGGGGAGCTTTCTGGGTACAGGTGGGTTGGATTCTGTTGGAATTTTTTTAAAGAATATTTTAGAATTTTAAGTATTGAATGTTTCCTACTGTAGTAATGGTGCTAATTGTAAGCTTGACAGTCATTATAGATGTATATTTTAAACATGTGGTTAAAGATATAATAATAAAATATTATTTAAGGGGGAAAAAGTTCCTTCCTGTTCACATTTTGTCTATAGATTGATAAAGCTGGTATTGCTGATAACAAAAAATCCATTCTAAATCTTACCATAACCCTAATCCTAGACCTGGCCATGAGATACAGTCAAGACTGCCTTTAATCTTACACTAATTCTAGCCCTGAGCCTAGTACTAGTATGCATCCTATCCATATTGACCTGAGATTCATCAATTAACCCAAAGCAAATACTTAATATAATCCTTAACCCAATATTTTGCCCTAACATTAACCCTAATAATAACTCTAGCTCCAACTCTACGTTAAAATCTAATACACATCCATGCCCTAATCCTTTAACCAACATGAACCTTAGTCTTAACTCTAATGCTCAGCCTAGACCAAAAGTTAAACAAATATAGTTTGAGGTTTACTAGCACCATATTTACAGAAGATCTATTCACCCCCCCCCCCCCCCCCCACACACACTTTAGAGAAAAGATTCCCGAGTTAAAATGTCATCTTAACTACTGGGATATATAGTTAAGAAATTTATAAATATATATTTACAGCAGGCTGTCTGGGAGTGAAGGGTTCTGTCCCCTGCCTGTAGCGCCGCCTGTTACTGCGTGGGCTGTGTCCAGTTTTTGGTGACTTTGGTGGCAGTGGCAGCTGGGGTATCAGGTAGGGAGAGGCTGATCTGTGTCTGCCTTGCTCCTGCTCCAGCTTGGCTATCACTGTGGCGTATTTCCTCAACGATGTTTGGTCCAGCTGAAATGTTCCAACAAAGTTTTCAATGACATGTCATGTTTTTTTAAATAAGAACTGTAAGATTGTTCTTGGGGTGCTCAGGTGGGTAAAGTTCATAGCTGCTAAACCAAAATATCCAGAATTGAGCCTTTGGGCAGATGAGGCTTGATAGCTGGGAACACCAACCCATCGCAGAGAGAAAAACTCTAAAAATCAAACACCTACTGCCTTGTTTTTTGTTCTTGAATGAACACAGGCAATGGAAGCTAATCCAAATGGAAAAGCAGACCAAAGTTGGAGTCAATAGGCCATTTGGCACATAATAAGTTGACATAATTATGTTGGAGGATATCCCACCCCCCCCCCCCCCCCCAATATAACATTTAAGAAAAAAGAAAAAGAAGAAATAGAACTGTAGACTAACTTAAGGTAATGTTGTCAGGAGCACACAATAAAAAAAGAAATCAACACAATTGGATATTTGCTATGCTACACTAATACTTTTGTGATAGGACCCTCCCCCCCCCCCCCCCACCCTTACTAAAAGGCTAGCATACTGCATGGTAGCCTAAGTGCTATTAGTCTGATTCAACATCCCCTCACACACACACCCTCACACCCCAAACAAAAGCACACTTCATACCATCCAAAGAGAACATTACCTATAATACAATTTTAGAGGACTAAACTTACTCAATCACAGCTAACCCAACTATTCAACCACATGCCATTTAGGTGCCTAACAAGCATTACATAACTTAACACTAACCTAATTAGAAAATTCACAATTAAAAATTACCCAAATTAACACTATACAAATTATTTTTTCACTGTGTGAATATTTAATTTATAAAATAGCTGTTTGATGCTAAATTCAAATTTCTTTTTTTTTATTGCAAAAAAAAAAATCTACAATTTTTTTTAAAGTTCTGAAATGTAGATACTCACTTGGCTTAAGTTTCTGTTGTCTATCAAATTTTTTCTAGTAAAATGGACATCCCTGTCATCTTCATCACCCTGAGATATAGGTCGCCCCTCATCATCCAGGTAGATAATCTGTACACAAAAAAAAAGTGTTAATGGCTCAATTTTAATAAGCAGTAAAATTAGTTAATTCCAGTTGATCAGATTCAATTAACTAAGTGTATCTTTTCTAAAATAGCAAATAAAATTAGAGCTTCTATAAAACATTTAAACAGGCTTACACTTTTAAAAATACAAATAAAATAATTATTAATTAATATTTTACGCTTACAATTGACGCTAAAAAAATATACTTTTAGTATCTGGTTGTTAAATAAACATGATAGCTTGAATCCAACCAACAGTCAAGACTCTTAACTAAATCTTATAAAAAATATATGACAGCCTGCAATCCAAAATAAAAACAATAAATATCTGTGTTTTTTCCCATAATCACTACTTCACATAATTCTGCTTAGCCAACCGTTTACTGTACAATCCCCCACTCTGATTACATAATTGATATTTCATCTTAGAGTAATGGAACTTTACAGCCTAATTCTTATTGCATTGGGTCTACTTATTGATTAAAGGAGAATTGAACATGTTTCATGCTGAATTAACTTCTATGGCAAACTGCCATCCGCGGCCTGTGGATCAATATCCATCAAACAGCTAGACTCCTGATAAGGTTACATGCGTATGTAAAAACAGCAAACAAAAGAGAGGCATTAGTAAACACGAATAGGCCACAACAGTAACAATGTGACTGATGTTTAAAACAAAGGCCAGTGCCAGAAAGACAAGAACAAAAGAGTTTTGTTAAAACAAAAATAATGAGATTATAATTCTGGTTTATTTAAATTATTTGTTCTGTTAAATGTAGTATTGTTACTAATTTTTTGTATGTTTCATTTTGTATTTCATTTTGTATTTTAACTTCAAAAAGCCAACATTATTTTATTCCCTCTAGATTTGGTATCAGTTATATAATTTTAAAAGTTCTAATTCCTATATTTTTCATATCTTTATATGATTTTAGATGTTTTATTTCCTCTAGTTTTTATATTTTTTATATGATTTTAAAGTTAGAGATTAATCTGATTGAATTATTTTTTTACTCTCATTTTACAATCTTTTATTTAACTTGATTTCCTTAGCTTTTGTCAAAACAGGTGAGCAAAATTTTGACCACTTATTACCAACCAATTTCTTTTAAACTAGATATGTGAGTCAATGTCCAATGACAATGCAAGGTGACATCAAATACAAGCAACTATACACACACTGTTTCCATTCATTTGGAGCACTTTACTTTTTTGTCATGCAACTATATTGTATTACAACATTTAAAGTAGTGAAAAAAATTAATAAAAAATGTTTTAGTAATAAGCATATATATAATTATGTACTAAATTGTAGAAACTAAAATTATTTTCTTTTAATATATAATAATGAACCACACTATTTACAAAACTAAAAAGAAAAGTGTGGGTCACTATATTATGTATAGAATAAAAATAATTTAAGATAATTTTAGTTATGTAAATAGTGGTTAATAATAAAATATTTAAAGAAAATCTTTATTTTCTGCTTTTTAGTGCAAATAAAATCTTATTACAAAAGCTTAGTATTATAACGGTTTTTAATTTATTTTTAAACAATGCATTTACATAGCTTAAGTATTTTCAAAATGTCAGCACTTTAAAGATAGTTTGTTATTTTCTTTGGCAACATGTAAACAGTTGTTACTATGTACACTTATTTTTCATTTATAAGAAGGTTAGAAATAACTTAGCACAAAAGAAAGCCTCTTAAATTGTCAGCTCATATTCCTTAATCTAGCCTGACAACAGAGCATGGAAAAATACTCAGTTTCTAGTTTCATAAATAATTGAACAACCCAGAATCAATACAGCCTAACAGGAGTTTTCTCCCCTTCTTTATTTTGTTCATTGTCCTAAGGGCTGAACAAATTGCTGCATTAGTGGTCTCCCTTTACTTTTAGCCCCAAGCCCACCCAGAGATACCAGTATCCATTGAGTCAATAAAGGAAAACACAAAGCAAAAACTAATTAGCAGTAAGTTATTAATGAAGCAGTGGTGTTTCATTAGCCTAAGATTGACCCAGTATCCTGGACTGCTATGCCATGACATAATGAATGATTTAAATCATTCAGTCCATGTTGGCAGTGTTAAACAATATCAAAATCTTAAGTCAAGTGCTTTAAATCATTAGGTCTATACTGACATTTTTATTACATTTTACATGACATGCACACCTACTTGTGCTGAGCTTTTACAACATTTTAAAAACACTGTTAAATTCTTCGTTAAATGTATAAAGCTATTTATAGATAAGTTTAACTGATTCTTCTTAATGTTTAAGAGAAAAAACAGCTTCAAATAATTATTGATTTCTATTTTTATTAGATACATTTTTACAAGGATGCCAAAGATGAGTAAACTTTTATCTGAAATGTTCAGTGTGCTTTAAACAAAATTTCTCATTAAATAGCTTGATACTACATTCATTAATGATTGGATTAGGTTCTTACTAAAAAAATCACATCATGAAAATGTGTATCAAACATTTTTCATCATCACAAATTTTTATTGCATTAAAATTTTATATTTCAAAACAAATCCTAAAATGTAACTTAATGATTAATACCTTAAAACTAATTGTTAAACAATGTTTAAATTATTTTTATATAATTTAATTTCACTCCATTTAAAGAAAAATTAGTCATTTCCGGCCAGGAATATGTATAGCAGAATTATACACCCTAAAGCTTTGCACCAATCTGACAAAAATGGAGGAAAGAAAAGTCATTTGCTGAGCTTTTCTCTTAAAGTTTTTCTCATGTTATGCACTTGTTAGTAACCAACATTAAATATTATTGCGATCCTACAACAAAAATTTTGAGCTAGTTATTTGACTGATTTTAAGGTTTCAGTCATTCTAAAAGCACTTTAAACTCTGATTTCTTGATGTTTAAGAATCTGACCAAGTAGTGATTGTTTTACTGTTGACGCTTTCAAAAATGTGATTTGAAGGGTCGCATAATTATTAATGTATTTGATATTTAAAACAACAATCCAAAATTTGAAACTTAGAATGTTAACAATAATAGCTAACCTGAGTTTATCACCGAGCCATATCTCTAACTATTTTCCAGACTTAACAATAAAGTGGATTCTCAAAAAGGAAATAGTAAGTGGATATTTTTACACACAAATCTCATTTTTCAGCTAAACACCTGATTTCCATTTTAGCAATACAAACAAATGACGATAAAAGTAAAGTAAAGTTTCCTTTTCAAACCTGACGGTCCATGGGGCAAGTGAAGTAGAGTTCACTTGTTTCTGTGACCTCGGCATATGAAGAGATAGTGTGGTCAGCCTTTACTTTCCCTAACATGAGTTAGGTACCAATCAGAGTTGGGTGGACTCAAGGACGGTCTACTGACTTGAACCCAGATTGGAACTCGAGACTTACAGGTTAGCAGTCCAGCTCTCTACCGCGAGACCACTCCGTCCCATTCAAACAAATGACGATGGCAACTAGAAATGTCCAGTAAAAATTAAAAACCAACCTCTTCGTCCTCATCTTCATAGTTGGATGACAGGACTGAGATGGGTCTTCTCCCTTTCTTGGATGGTGCACTGATGGCTCTGTTTCTCTTTGGAGGTGACTTATGTGATTGGTGAGATCTTCTCATGTGACCTGATTCAGATCTTGGACTAATGTAGGGAAGCACATCATAATCTCTTTTTCTCTGTCGAGACATCTGGGGTAAAGTTGTGTAATATTTGTTATTGTAACTAAAAATAAAATGTGTGAAATATTGGTACCTCTTTTTTTTAAAATAATTTAATGATGTTTGAAGTTGGTGGCATAACTGTATAAATAGGTAGGAAAATATAGGTATTTTGTTTGTTAGCTTCTACATATTAAAGATAAAATAATTTATGTAAAACTTTAAGTAATCTAGGAGAAATAATTTGTAAAAAGTTATTTATCTTAAAAAAGATTACCAACCCTAATTTGAGTCATTTAAATAACTTCCACCATTTTTGACGGGAATAAACATAAAATATTTTAATACTAACCCTAACTCTCCTAACGAGTTCAATTTTTGCAATCTCTTCTAGCTTGGCTTTGATCTCTGCTTGCCGCACCCTTTCAAGATCGAGAGTCTTGTGAACGATAGCTTGTGCAAGCATTTCTTTAACATGCTGCTTGTGTTCTTTTCTTGTCATGTTCAGTCTATAAGTGTTTTCTGCTACTATAAATCCATCTTTGGTTATCTAGTATATAAACAGAGTTGATACAGAGAAAATCTACAATTTTTCCTTAGATAAATTAGAATATAAACATTCTATTCAATAGGACCTACATAAAAAAAACAAGTACCATATTTATATTAAATTACTTTTTTAAAGAAATAAATAGTATTCAAAATTAGTTTTAAAACATTATAATTGATAACATTTAGAATTTATCCAAATTAAATTAAAACTGTACACAAACTTACAAGGCCTGATTTACGCAGATGTCTACGTATGCGAGGATTTGTAAAAAATCCCGACAAGTTATTGTCAACTAAACTGTTGTAGTGGGACAGTGGTCTGTTTAATAGTAAAACAAAAATGGCATTTTATTAAAAACTCGTTATTGATTATTGTCTTCTGATAGAATCAAAGCAGTATCCATTTTTGTAAAATTATTTAAATAATATCAACACATAGATCTAGATCTATATACATAATTACTAAATAATTAGCCTACATATCCTTTGGTGATATTAGAAATTAATAATTAGTCCATATTGAATAAATTGTGAAAATAAAAATTGAATCTAACTCTTATTAGGCCTAGATCTATAGTTTTTATTATTAGAGAAATACTTAAATAAAATTTTTAAAAAATTTTATATTTTGATGTCAAGAAAAATAATATTTTAAAGTTTAAAGTTTTACAACTTACCCCTGGTCTATGTGACTCATGGTTAAACTAAGTTATTAGATAATCTTAAAAATGTAAAATAAATGCGATTTTGAGGATTAGTAACTAGTTATAGCTAATAACATTGTAGATTCTCTATTATAGGACGTAAACACTAGCTTCATGCAAATGTCTAAGGTTTATTTTCCGCCATTACAAAACAACGCGTCGTCCGGGAGAGTCACGTGATTTCCTCTAAAATTTTTTTGGGCTCTTTAAATAGGCCTAGCAGGTCTGGAGTCTGGTCGTCTGCTGCCTACTGACTAATTCTTTTGACAAACAATTCAAACATCCAATTATTATTCACGAATATATTCTAAGTCTAATGCACTTTACATGTGCTTTTTTTTTTTTAGAAATTGCATTAATTTCAAGCATGCATATCTCGGGGGGGGGGGGGGGGGGGGGGGGGGGAAGGTTCGACGAGAGCAGAAAAGAGGCGACAATTGTTTGTACTGAAATCGCAATTAGATCTATATTGTCAGCGGCGTAGATAAAGGTTAAACCTTCCCCCCCACACCCACCCTTGTATGGGCGTAGCGTAGTGCATAAAATAAATATTGTAAGCCGTAAGGCATCATAAAATAAACCGGGAGTGATCTCCCCTAAACTTTCTCGAATATTCTTATATGAAACAACAGGGGATGGCAACTCGGATATAAACATGCTTTTTAATCCATTTTAAATACTTAAAGTTTTTAAAATAGAATAAAATCTCGTAGAAAAAAGAATTTCATACCAAGTGAATGCCATATAAAATGTTCATAATAGTGCGGAATATTATTAATACTTTATAAATTCACATGCGCTTTTTGAGAAATCGGAAATAGTGAAAATTACCACTTCCGGTCAACGGAAATTACTCAAAATTTGACAAAAGGCAGAAAATTACATCTTTTACGTACAAGTGAAATTTCATTTATCTATCTGAAATAATACTCAAGTTATAGGCTTTTGAAAAATTCAAAGTAGAAAAAGTTCCACTTCCGTTTATCGGAAATCGCTCAAAAGTTGATACGGATCTAAGATTTTGATATAATACTTATATATGAAATTTCATCAACCTAGCTTAACGGTACTCAAGTTATCGTGTTTACACACACAGACACATACACAGACATGTGGACAAGATTGCAAAACTATGTTTTTCCAACTTAGGTAGGTGTAAACCGTCGAGATTTGCAATAATCTCGATTTTTTTTTTTGCACGATTACAAGTCTTTCTCTATACTTCGTATATACGAGAAAGTAATAAATGACGCTCATAAAGTTGCTATTGCGCAAATCCGAGCCAATGACGATAAAAAGAAACCATCATCAAAGATTAAATAATGTGTGATTGGCCGTGATGAATGTAGTTGACACTTTTGTTTCTTTCTTTACTGACAGCTGCAGTTTTTTCGACCAATAAGTTCCAGAAACAGGCGCCATTGTCCTGAAATCAGAGTTTCTTTCAGGCATCTCGTCCCAAACGAAATAGAATTTATATAGAATATATAAACTTTTACTAGTGTCCGCCCCCCCCCTTCCCCGGAAAATTACCCCCCCCCCTGCCCCCACCTCGAAAATATCAAGCCCTCACCCCTAAAGAAAAGAGTCTGAAAGAAACACTGAAATTGTTCGCAAACTGTTCATGGTTACGCCTCCGATCTCTATATCGACCGACCTGGGTTTCTTTCGGAAATTTTTTCTCCGGGGGGGGGGGGGGGTTGAAATTGACAATGTCGTGAAGGGGAGGGGCAATTTAAATTTCCGGTTAGAGGGGGAAGGGGGGGTCGGCGGTCGCTAGGGCAGTGTCCACTCGTCCACTCCCCAAAGATATCGACAAAGGTGATCTAATCCATCCAATGTAATCTTGCATTCCCTTAATCGTTTTTACATTAGGCAGAATTCGTTGTTTTGACTCGCATCGTGGGAGCTGTACGTGCATCTTCGGGCGTTGAATAATTTCAGATTTATCAGTCCGGGCTTAGTGCCCGCATTAGGCCTACAATACTTCATCATAGGGGGTCGTCCATAACTGACGTCACACTCGTAGGGGGAGGGAGTGGGTCCCCAAGTCTGATGCGATAACACATAACTTAGCCTACACTACTACACTAATATCCTAATTTATAAAAGCCCAATGTGCGCACATCTCTCTCTCTCTCTCTCTCTTTCTCTGTCCGCAAAAAATTTTCGCCGGACATCACGTCAGAATCGGCAGCGATATATGGAGAACTTTTTACGGACTTTTGTTGAAAATAATATGTTAGATGTTTTAAATGTATAACCACAATTTTACTTAAAGAAGAAAAATAAAAATTAAAGGCGTATTCGAATGTAGAGAAACAGTATTATTTATGCAACCGGAAAAGCATTAATACATGTAAAAAAGAACGCATAAAACTGTGACGTCGCTATTGCTTATACATTAACTAATGACGTCATCAGCTGTGTTTTGAATGAAAAGAAATGAACTATTTCATTCAAATTTGATTTAGATCTACGTACACTATGAAATGTATACAATACAATTTTTCCGGCCTAAACTCATAAAATTTATTTTATTTATTTGGATTCTAGATCTAGAGATTCTAGATCTAGACTAAATCTAAATCTAAATCTACGCAATAACTAGATCTAGACGTAGACGCTAAGATCTAGATTTAGACTCTAACTTCTCTAAAATCAATTCCAAAAATAAATTTCTATATTAGGACTAAACTATTTCAAGACTTATTTATTTTATACAAAATCTTTGTTTGGAACTGGCTAATTTGGGATAAAAAATTAATTTGAAAGAATAGGCATATTCGCGTAAGTTAAGATTTTAAAATACGTGTTTCATTCTCCGTATTTTATAAGTTGCCTAAATAGCGGAGATGTTAGTGTACATTAAACCACGCAGGTGGTGCGGGTTCGAGACACAGCAAGTCAACTTGGTTAATGTATTATTTTTTATTATGCTCGGGCTAAACTTTAAAAAAAAATTCTTTTAGAAATCTAGATCTAGATCTAGATTGTCGGGTGTCCGATAGGGCACTTCCCGGCGCCGCAGGCGCTTCAAATTTGGCATGATCTTGCCTTGATGCGACAGAACACGGGGGCCGGTTGGCCGAAAAGTCTACGATGTGGGGGTCAAAACTGACCTCGACTGACCGGTACCTTATATGAGCTATAAATCGAAAAAAAATGTCCACGGAGGAACCTCTTCATAACTCTTGAGGTCGTAGACCGACCTTCGGGCGAATTAATTAAGCATTCAAATTCTCAATGTTTTCGAAAGCCTAAGCGAAGCTGGGCAGCATGCCTAGTGGTCTATATAGTAGTCTCATGTTGGCACAAAATTTACGTCTGCCTTTAACAACATAGCACTAATCCTTATCAATGCTGTCATTATGCTTGTTAAACATAAAGAGATTAGGAGATTTAGACACAGGCAATTAATACCTTTTTAAATGGTATTTCCATATCGATTTTCAAGAGGGGAGTCTTTAGAATGCGGGTAAAATATAGATAAAAGAAACAATTATCAAACGATACCGGCAGTTAGAAGGTAGTTTTTATCAATGCATGGGGTAGAGATTGATTTTAAAAGAGTGACTGGCAAAATAGTTGGACAATAAAATGTTGTCCATAGTGGCATAGAGAACGTTACATCGTTTTGAGTTTGATGATTTATTTTATAGACCTAACCACTCACGTCATCCTCAACCACATCGTCACACTATTCAAGTGTACTTACTATTTGTAGGGGATTGTACTTACTATTTGTAGGAGATTGTACTTACTATTTGTAGGGGATTGTACTTACTATTTGTAGGAGATTGTACTTACTATTTGTAGGGGATTGTACTTACTATTTGTAGGGGATTGTACATACTATTTGTAGGGAAATTGTATTTACTATTTGTAGGGGATTGTACTTACTATTTGCAGGGGATTGTACTCAGAGGCGTAGCGAGGGGGGGGGGGCGGGGGCATATGTACCCGGGCGCCGACCTTAGGGGGGGGGGGGCGCCAAATTGCATGGGGTAGAGATTGATTTTAAAAGAGTGACTGGCAAAATAGTTGGACAATAAAATGTTGTCCATAGTGGCATAGAGAACGTTACATCGTTTTGAGTTTGACGATTTATAGACCTAACCACTCACGTCATCCTCAACCACATCGTCACACTATTCAAGTGTACTTACTATTTGTAGGGGATTGTACTTACTATTTGTAGGAGATTGTACTTACTATTTGTAGGGGATTGTACTTACTATTTGTAGGAGATTGTACTTACTATTTGTAGGGGATTGTACTTACTATTTGTAGGGGATTGTACTGTTTGTACATACTATTTGTAGGGAAATTGTATTTACTATTTGTAGGGGATTGTACTTACTATTTGCAGGGGATTGTACTCAGAGGCGTAGCGAGGGGGGGGGGGCGGGGACATATGTACCCGGGCGCCGACATTAGGGGGGGCGCCAAATTGAAAGTTTGAGGGGGGGGGGGGTGCAAATGAAAAGTTCGAGGGGGTGCAAATCGAAAGTTTGAGAGGGGGGGTGCAAATGAAAAGTTCGAGGGGGGGGGGTGCAAATCGAAAGTTTGAGGGGGGTGCAGATGAAAAGTTCGAGGGGGGGGGGGGGTGCAAATCGAAAATCGAGGGCACCAAATTGAAAGTATGTCCCCGGGCGCCGGGAAGGGTCGCTACGCCTCTGATTGTACTTACTATTTGCAGGGGATTGTACTTACTATTTGCAGTGGATTGTACTTACTATTTGCAGGGGATTGTAGTATGTACTTACTGTTTGTAGGGGATTGTATTTACTATTTGCAGGGGATTGTACTTACTAAGGATAAGACATAGTAAATTCATTAGAACTAGCAACTAATCTGATTTCCATACGTCCATAAATGACGTCATACTCGTAGGGGGGAGGGGTTTAGTAAATTTGTGATGGTGTGTGATGAGGGGGTGGGGTGGGTTTTCCGATGGTGTGACGTCACACTTTTGCATTATAAAAAAAAACAATGTTAGAAAACGAATTTTAGCCGTTATTTCGCGTTTTAGAAAACTGTTTTAATAAATTGTAATAGGAATTGATTAAAGTACTCTATGTTGACTCAGACACAAATTTGTAAAATATCGTATTTTACTTTTTTTGTGTGCAATTTTGAGGGGTTGGGTGGTAGGCTGAGATGTGAAGTCATTTTGAGAGGCAGGGGGTCTGGATTTTTGTAACGATGTGTGACGGAGGGGAGGTAAAAAATCATCAAAAAAGCGTGACGTAATTTATGGATGACTCCATAGAGTAGATTTCCATTCACGATCAAACTATGAGTAGGGAATCGAACTCACGGAACGTGTCCAGAAAGGCCCCCGCCATTAATGCAAAAAGTGCTTTCTGATGTCTAGATATTGAATACTTAAACGCCAGCCATAAAAACAAATTCTTATCTGCCTTAAAGGTTAGTGTAAAAGGTACCTGGACAAGATCCTTACTTACTAAGGGTGTTTTCAAATAATTTATTGAATTGGGAATAAATTTTGACAAAATTGATCCAGTCCTTTTTTGGTTAATTTTCTTATTTATTTAAAGTCAGAATGCAGATGAACAGAAAACCTTTCAAAACCATTGCTGATGTTAGCATGCATGGTTCCAAGCCTTCCAATCCAATTTTTTATGGTTAATTTTCCTCTTACAAAATACAAATCAACATGACTGTATTTTCCAGCAATAAATTTGCTGGATAATTTATTATAAACAGAAAAGAACCTGAGACCTGAAATTCTTCACATTTAAGTATTTTAAGACAGCAAACAAAAGTTTTTGAAACTGTCAACACTAGGAGAATATGTCACACTACAAACTACAATAATTTTTTAAAAATATAACAGAGGTCTGATATTTTAACATATAAGGCATAATTATGTAAGATTGAATTATTATTATTTTTTTTTGTAATTGACTGAATTTGATGAAATAACAGAGGAATCTCACCATGTTAACATTTGAACGTAATATTTTACAATATATTTTTAGACAATTGACAGATTTCATAAGCTACGAGATTATTATATTACTATTGAAATACAAGAACTCTGTTGGACCTGACTTTATAACACTTGAGACATCAGGGGGGAGCAAATCTGTAGCATGTTTACAGGAGTGTCGGCTGTGGTGTGAGGCATCGCTCGTTTTCTGTGATTTTTGTAGAACAAGAGGTTGAAGGTACGGGGAAACCATACTGCTTCGACCATGTCTTTGATTAAACTTGGCAACAACCAATGTATTGATTTTTTCTACAGATCTCTTTTCTAACTGAAATACACACACACAAACATATATATAAATATATATATATATATATATATAAATATAATATAATGTTAAAAAGTTATAGAACATGGGTTCATAAAAGGATTTTCATGTTTATTCTATACCTGGCGTAGCTGTTTACTTATTTTTAAATTGCCATTGTGGACTTTGACTTGAGCTATTTGACCTGGAGTTTCTTCATCTGCATCAGACACATCCTGTAAACAAGTATTCAAGTTTTAACTTTATTACTTCAGAACAAAGCAAAACTATGATGTTGGGTTGAGTGAAATGTTTACCTAAATAGAGCTGATGAATTTTTTCTTACAAGTAATACAAGCTGCTAATTCCAGTAAATGAATACATAACAAAAAGAAAGTATTCATGTTTAGACATATTAAGAGAAATAAAAGAATAATAAACTAGTAAAACAATTACTTAATCAATAATGAAGTGAATTTTAATTGTCAATTAAGTCTGATACCTATCTAAGATGGATTAAAGAGAAATACAGCTAAACGCATTATAGGAATAGAGTGTTTGTTATAGAACTCTTTTTTTTTACAGTAAAAAAGAGTGGGTAATGTGAAAGCGCCAAAATGAGGTTAGTGTGTAAACACAATGGTATATACTAGACAGACAAAGAAAAGAGGCAATTAAAAAAAAATAAAAACAACATAAGCTGGCCTGAAACAGAATAAAGATAATAAACATGTTCACAAAAAAAAAAACACAATTCAGAATGACACGATTGACTACAAACACTGACATAATAATGAGACTAAATGAAAACAATGCAATACAAAACCCTAATATAACAAACAAAAATGGTGTGATTACCTAACTACTACAGTGCTTTGGAATCAAAGAAAATAGCAACTGATACCACCTTAGTAAAGCTTAGTAAGTTCTAGGTCTAACTACAAGGGGAAGTAACTGGACAGTGACAAAAGAAAATATACAAAAATGGGGCATTCCCATGGTCAGTTGGAATAAAGTAACACTGAGATTACATATAATAGAAGTAATTGATTGTAGGATTTACAGTACTTGCTGCAAAAAACCATTTAATATCTTGCTTTAAACTTATTGTGACATCTCTTTCAAGCCAAAAAAAAATGATTTTTGCAAAAGAGAACTTTACAAAAAGATGAAATAAAAAATAATTAGATCTGCATTAAAATTCTGACAATAAGTCTATAATTCTTTTACTTTTGTAAAAAAAAAAGTAGGCATTAGCTTTCAAGCTATTTTAGAAATGTACAACTCACAAGCTTCTCATTATTACAGTTAGAAGAATGCGCAGAAGTGGACCTTCTACATTGTGTTGGTTGTGCACTGATGGCTCTGTCTCTACATATTGTAGTGTGGGGAATGTGTAAATATACAGGAGCATAAATTGTTCTGGTAACGGGCTGTACTTCTCCATCTCTGTCAGTTTCACGCGCTGACTACAAAAATTAAATGCGTGAAAAATAACGCAAGAGATAAAAAAAAAATTAAATTATACACACATGCATATCTCTCTCTATATATATATTCACACATGTATATATATATATATATATATATATATATATATATATATATATATATATATATATATATATATATACACACACATGTATATATTCTAATGAACTAAATGTTTAAAAATTAAAACATTTCTTTGATACTTTGAATCTTCTACTTCTAGCACTCTCCATTTTTGCAAAAACTTCCAACTTGGCTTTAATCTCAGCTTGCCGAATTCTCTCAAGATGAAGTGTCTGTTTAAACAAGGTTTGGGCCAGCATTGGTTGTAAGATTTGCAAATACTCCTTTTTTGCCATGTTTTTTCTGTAGTCTTCTTTCGATATTATGTAACCATCTTTGGTTATCTGCATAAAAAATAGAACTTTAATAGCTGTGTAATGAGCTGAAAAAAAAGTTATTTTTTACAAGAATAGAATTTAGAAAAATTGTTGTTCGCTTGTATAATAAACTTACAAGACCAGCTTTAAGCAGATGTTTGCGTATATGAGGCCTTGTAAAATAAGCAGACAAATTAGTATCAGCTAAACTGTCATAGTTTGATAGTAATCTGTAAGAAAAAATAACACAAGTTTAGCTAATAGGTTTAATATTGAAAACACATTTGATGAAAATAAATTATTACAAAATTTTTAAAAAGTAAAAAACCCTATACTTAATATGTAAGTAAAGCATTAAAACAAAAGAAAAAAAAGTTTCTTTAATGGTAAAAGAAAAAGCATTTTCATTATATTTTGTGACCCAGACTTTTATTAATATTATAAGTAAAGATTCCTCTTTAGATCTAATGATTCATTGGGCAGATGAAATGGAGTACATGTGTTTCTTGACCTCAGCATATAAAGGGATAATGTGGTCAACACTATACCCAGCCGCCTTTCCTTTCCCTAACGTGAGTTAGATACCCATCAGAGCTGGGTGGACTCAGGGACGTTCCACTAGCTTGAATCCGGATTTGAACTCAAAACTATCGGGTTAGCAGTCTAGTGCTCCACTGCTGCCAGAAATTTAATTTTAGAGCCTTTCATCTTATCTCTAAAATGACATACTGACGGGTACCTAGCTGATGTTAGGGAAAGTATAGCTGGCTGGGCATAGTGCTCACAATACCATCCCTTCATATGCCAAGGTCAGAAACCGATGAACTCTACTTCAATTCCCAATGGACCATCAGGTTCAAAAGGGAACTTTACTTTTTTTTTACATAGAATGGTATTAAACATATTTATAAATAGATCTAGATCTAGTACTTTTTAAAAAGTCTGGCAGATGAAATCAAAGCTATATTTTGGAGACAGGTCAAAATAACAGTTATTATTTGTTAGTCATGCTAACATAATCTTTGCCTTAGCCATATGACTCTTATAAGGCACAATAATAAATTCTGAACTTATTCCTCACACTGCCCACCCCCCTCCCTAAGAAAAAAACAATAGCAAAATTAAAAAAAAAAAAAAACAACAAAAGCTTGTAGAAATAGGCCTTCTATAGAGGATCACTTTTGTTACTATAATTGCTTAATGAGTAAATACTAGTCTAGTGTATTCATTTTAAAATACTGATGAATTAGTTGTTTAGATCTACATAGTACAACCATATTATGTAGATCATGATAGATCTTTAGAAATAGGCCTACTTTTACTTATTATTAGATCCATATACATTTTATTTACCTACAATATATGGCATATGCAATGCAAATCTGAAAAATACCAACCCATTTTCTTTGCGCATCATTGTGTTTATTTTTTTGAGTAGCTAATTCAAGCTAGCATAATCGAATGAATAGTGAATACTATAGTTTCAAGTAGTTAAAAACTAGCTTTAAATTAGATACTAAAAAACCTATGATTAGCTTTTATTTTAATATTTTCTAAAGCATTAATTAAGTTTCAATTTCAAGGGAAACTATTGTTAAATAAATATTATTAAATATGCATATGCTAATGTACTAAATATATATAAATGTAGGCCTATAGTTATTTTATACGCCGATATCTTTATCTGATAGTTTTTATTGGCGCATTGTTTAAAGTATAGACAGTATAAGTGTAACTGTTAAGTGCATTTTTGATCTTGCTTCCACCATTTCCAAACAACGCGTTGTCCTGGAGTGTCACGTGATTAATTTGTTATGGTTTTTTTTCTCCAGACCTTGTTTTCCTGATTGTCATGTCATTAACAAAAGAATAATCGAGTGCGCTCTTTTTTTTTTTTTTTTTTTAAAAAATCCTCCTATTCCTATTAGATCTAGTAGTATTATTAGCCATATTTGGATATTATAATCAGTAATCATTAGCAGAGTTTCTTCCAGGCATCTCTTTCGGGGGGGGGGGGGGGGGGGATGGGGGGGGGGGCTCAGCCGAAGAAAGTCTACTACCGCCACCACCCCCCCCCCCCCCGAACGAAATGTAATTTATATAGATAATATATACTTTTAGCTGTCCCCCCCCCCCCCGGAAATTTTAGTCTGGAAGAAACACTGATCATTATATGGATCATATATATTTTTATATAAATATAAGAGTGAGAAGTTAAAAAAAATAAAAGCAGGCGTTTCTTACATTTATTACTGTGTTTATTAGTTGTTAGATCTAGATCTAGTAAAAAGTTAAAATGTAAATAAAGCTCAAAATGACATATTCTATAGGCGACTATGGGAGGATATTTAGTACCCACCACCGTTTGATACCAATACCATTTTTGTTCATCTGTTCTAGATCTAGATCTAGATCTACCCGCAAACCATGTCTTCTTCAAACATTGAACATTTTATGTCATACGTCACGCATTACGTCACGTTCCCGGGAAAGTTACGTTACGTCATATGCATACTGTCAACTTATGAACCCTGGTATCGTTGTTAGACACGTTGTAAAAAGTGTGAGTAGATGTAGAAGTGACTAAGTTGGCCATGTAAAAGTGTATGTGTATCTAGTTCTCTTGTAGTGGATTTAAAGACTTCTAGATCTCTAGCTAGATCTAGGCTATACTTCTATACTTTTAATAAATAGGGCCTAGCAGAACTCAACTCTTATTTCAGTCTAATAGAGCTCTTTAGTAAAAAAGTTCATTTAAAGCGGTGTTTCACTTTTTCTTGATTCATGATTCCTAATAATAGTATAGGCTAGTCCTGATCATAATGGAAGAATGTAAACAACGGTGTTCAATCTTTAATTTTATATTATGAAGTTGCAGTGTACAATCAATAAACTTAGAAATGAAGCGGTCGAAAAATGACCAAATTCGTTCAAGTATCAGTCGCTACTTTAAATGGAGACAATATTCTGTAAGTTTTGTTTTCGATATTTCAAGTGAGTTTAGTTGTGACTGTGAACTGTCAGTGTTCCGTGAGTTACCACAGGCCCAGCCACCAGGCCATGCACTGGAAAATAAATATGGAATCAATTTATAATTTATAGGGCCTAACAATTAGACTAACATGTAAAAAAAATGGCCTAATATTTTAAAAATTAATTGGCTATAAATTTAGGTTTTCTACTCAAAAGTTTACCAAGTATCAAGTTAAACTTGACAAGTTTACACCACTCTAGACTCTAGAATTGTACTGGAGTGACTCAAACTAACCTAAGACTCTAACCCTAGGCCTAATCACTTAGATCTAGATCTAGATCTAGAGCTAGTGACTACTAAACCGGTGTCACTCACTAGTTACAAGTAGGAGTTAATTTTTTTTATTACCTGATATACCTTTCCCGGGTATAATACCACAGGATATATCATTGGTTAATCTGTAATTCAACATCAGGCATATAAGTTACCCCCCCCCCCCCCAACTTTTTAAGATTGTTTTTCTGGTTCATAAAGTCATGTTATAGCCAGTAAAAAAAATGGCACTTTTCTGTTTTCTGCTAACATTGTCTTTGTGATGGATCCTTGCTCTAAGAAAGTTTTTTATGCTTTTATTGTTGTGCAAAGCAACCCTGAGTTTAGAGTGATAGAGTGATGGCCCTGGACTGTAAGTGTAAGAAATTTATCCTAAACCATCATCATCATCTTTTCCTGTTCGCGCCCAAGACACATGAGTCAGATAAAGTAGAATTTATCTGTTTGACTGACCTCGTCATACTAGGAGATAATGTAGTCTTCACTATGCCCAGCTGCCTTTGTTTCCCTAACATGATTCAGGTATCCATTAAAGCTGGTTGGACTCAGGGACACCCTGCTAACTCAAACCAGTGATCCGAACTCGAGACTTTTGGGTTAGCAATCATAAACTCTGCCATCTGGCCACACCATCCTTACCTAGTATGAATACTAATAAAAAATTCTATTATGTTTATTACTCTTTAAGTTGATTTCCCTCTTTGTTTGACAAAAATATTTTAAAAAACTTGAGATGTAAAATGTCAGTTTAGCATAATAGATTAAACTTGTTCTGTTTTCTTTTAATAGTCAGAGGTGATTCTTATGTATTTGTTATTGCTCCTGTTTGTCAAAGATAAAGCTGGTATTTTAATTTCAACAACAAATAACCATTATTATAAAGCTTGTATTTTAATATTGACAATGTTTAAAATAACAAACAATAAATGAAACTAACAACACTCCTGAAATATCTCTTTACTTTTCAATTAACTATATATTATGCCATCTATAATATCTTTATTTTGTGTTGGCTTATTGTACACATGATCTAAATGTTTTAAATTTAATAATGTAATATATAATTTATATATTTAAGATACACTTTTTTTTATCAATTACCAATGATGACCACAACGTTATATCCAATTTGATTAATAAATTCTATTTTTAGGACACTGAGATGCCATCTAGAAAAGATCTTCAACGTGAACAGGGTTTGTCTGATATGTCAGTTCGGAGGCGTACCAGATCAAGAACAAGCGTTGAAAATACTTTAGCACTGAGCAGTATTTCAGGGGACGCAACAGCTTGTGATCAGCAATTCACGAGGTAAATTCTTCTGTATTCTTACAAATACAATAAATAGCATAATTCATTTTTAAGTAGATTTTCAGTACCAGTTATTCTGTATGGGATGGCGCTAACCTGAAATTCTCGAGTCTGTAGGACATCTCATTGGTCCACTCAGCTTTGATGTGTACCTGACTCATGTAAGGGAAAAAGTAAAAGCGGCTGGGTATAGTGCTGATGGCACCATCCCTTCAAATGCCAAGGTCACAGAAACAGGTGAACTCTACATCATCTGCCCCATGGACTTCAAGGTTTAAAAGAAGGGTAACTGTATTATACTATAGCATTCTGTAATGTACTATGACATTTAATGTTATTTTGTTAAATGATGAAAATTTTAAAGTATTGAAACACATGATTTACAATGCAATAGAATGAAGGGATTCATCAGTGGTGCTGTCGCCCCTTATTACTCAGAACTTCAACCATTGCTGTTTCCAATGTTTTCTCATACATACCTTGAAATGTTATGCAATGGCCAGAAAGTCCCAGGTAATGAAGTAGTCAATTGTTGTTTCATTTTAAATATGCCATGACTTGTGTAAAATGATGTATATATTCGTTGTCTCTTTTCTTACATTGATCAAATTAATTTAGTTTTGGTGTATTAATAATGATGGGGGCGGATGGGTTAGACTTTTGTGCTGAAGGGAGGGGTTAAGAAAGTGTGTATCACACTTTTTGCATTTGTACATTCGATATCCAAAAATGTCAATTGGTCAGGTCCAATGTGATGGAACAAATATTTTATAGCATCTTATAGTTTCATTAATTACCATATTATTTTCTTTTATTTGATATGTTACACATGCTTAATTTAGAAATATATGCTTAAAAATATTGAAATATACAATTAGAGGAAAAAGCTATGGTAAAACAGCAAAAAGAAAACACCCACAAAAAACACATCAGTCTGAAAAAGTTAGATAATTTTTCAAACTGAATTTTAGAACTAGAAGTGATCTCCTTATAAAAAGTGATGAATGCTATATATTTTTTACTTTGCATTTTGTTTCCTATTCAAAGCTCAAAAATTTCATGAGCGCCATTCAGAAACATTTAAAGATGAAAAAGATATACAGTTTTTGAAAATTTTAAAAAGACTAGGAACTAAAAGTGATGTCAGCACCACAAAGGAAGTTATTGAGTTCAGGTAGGTTCAGAAGAATGTAAAGTACACCCTGTATCTGTCTAAAGAAAAACCCCACCATTTAATTTAATCTAATTAATTTAAATTGTATATTTAGTTCTAAAAGATAAAATAATAAATGATAGATGGTTTTGAGCCAGGTTAACTATGGTTAGCATACTAAAACTACATTTATAAATGTTTTTTTTATGTTACTTCCAAGTCCAAGTATTTCTGGGCAAGCTAGTTTCTTTTTTTTTGGCAATCAGACTTCTGTCAAATGCAAGTACTGAAGTTTCAAAATACTCAGTTAATTGAAAACCCATTTTTATTATTGTCTTTCCCATTGACTCAGTCACATTATAAATCTATTCATCACATCCATTTTGTCAATAAGTAGTCTACCACTGTTATAGATTATTAACTGTTACATTTTTCCCCCCAGAGAAAACCGTTTTGTTCTCACTGTTGGTGAAGAAACACTAGAATACTTAATGAGGCATTTGAAGGTATGACATTAAATTAAATCAAAGTAAACTTCAAATATTTTTTTTTAAAGTTTAGTACCCTTTTAGTCTAACTGTCCATAGATAGAGTTCACCTTTTATGTAACCTAGGCAGTTTACAATAAATGGATTTTTTTGACAACATCTGGCTAAACACGTCATTTCCCCTTACTTAACCCAATTACCCATAAGAGGACTGAAGTTCTTCTGGATTTGTTTTTAAACTTTAGAGTAAACGCTGGAAATTTTTTTTTTTTTTGGTTTGTTAATTTTTTATCAAAATTAACTACTGTATTTAGTTTGTAGGATTTAAATGATTCTTTTTAATATCAATAATTTGTTGTTCTTATGATGGAAAATTAATTTGATTTTGTGTACATTGACAGACTGAAGATAACATGATAATGTTGCAAATCTTCAACCAGTATATAAAAATTAACAGTAAGTTGATCTTTGAATAGCTGTTGTGGCTTATAATCTAATACTTAGAGCTGTGTAATATCTAATGAAATTTGATTTTAAAATAAGGGCATTTAATATTTTAATGTTGCATGTTATTTAAAAATTTTTTGGCTTTGATACAGTAGACTGAAGACATGATATGTCTTCATGTAATAAAATAGTGTTTAGTAATTTTAAAAAAAATATTTTAAAATTTATTTTAGTTTTTGGAGGGCATATGATTATGATCATGACTGTTTCTTCTCAAATTTTAAAAACATATTTTTTTTTGTCAGTTGATTGTAAAATAAAACCCTTTAAATCAAGATCTGTAATTATAAACACAAATTAAAACTTTTTAGAAGCTTAACAATGTAAGGTATTTGTTTGCTATCCCAATTGCAATATGTATTTTTATATCAGTAACACAGGCAGAAGGAGTTTTCAATAAAGGTAAAATTGAGCTGAAACCACTGCCAGAAGTTCAAGAAGAATCTCAAATCCAACCAGAAATTACAGCACAACCTGTAGGGGATGGTCCACCAGGAGAGTTGTCCTTGGAGGAGGAGTTGTCTGCTGCTATCAAAGCTGTGCGAGATTTACCACCATGTTTACCATCCATTTGCTTTTTCACCTTTTTAAATACTTACCAAGGGTAAGCTTTAAAGTAAAAGCCATCAATTTTCATTCTTAATTAGAGTTTTGTTGTTTAATTAGTAAAGGTTGTGTTGAATCACCTGCTGGAATAGATAACCAATCGTGAGCTTTACACAATTGTATTATTTTGCTTATTTTATGTAAAAAATAAATATCTCTCATAGCCCTAATAATAGAAAATATTTTGTAACTACTTCTACTGTTGGTTGGGGTACAAGTAATAGATAACTATTAATTAGACCAATTGAATAAGCTAATTGGAGTGACAGATATTTTGCCTGGGAAACCTATTTGTCACTGACAAGTGCTGCTGAGAAAGAGACTGTTTTCTACCTGAAAACCATATTTAACAATACTGTTTTTATATTTAATTTTTTTGTCCGCTAGAATTTATAGATGAGTACTTAAACATTTATGGTAAACATTTCTAATTTATAAGATGTACTATAAATTACCAAGGTTTAAATAATTATTTTGAAATAGCATAACTGCAATCCATGCATCTGGGTAGATCTAGTACTATCTGCTATTCTCCTATAAAAAACTAAACTTTTATTATATGCATAAAGGAGTGGGGGGAATTAGTCATGGGTGAAGGGGTGATGGTTATAGGATGTGGAGGGAGAAGGTGTCAGGTAACCACAGACTTTTCTTTTGGATAAGTTTTTTTTGTATTATTACCATTAATTCTGTGAATTTAAAAAAATGTCAATTTATTCATCACCCCAGACTGTGTTCTGCTACAATATCCCGTGACAAGAAAAAATTAAGCGGCTGCTTTGAAGATGCCAGCATCTCTGTCTGGAGCCTGGAGCCAGATGTATTCCAGAAACTACCAGCTGAGTGTGATGTCAGCAAGATTGTGTTGTCAGCCGACCTCCTTTATTGTACAGAGGATGAAATTAAGGAAAAATTGACAAACAAGTAATTCTTATTTCTGAATTTTTAAAAATCTATTCACACAAATTTGCTCTGAGAATAATTTATAAAAATTCTTTTAAAAATTGAAACTTTGTTTGTATTATGAACCATTGTTTTTTTTTTTTTTTTAAATAGCCTATACAATATCCTTTTAGTTTTCATAAAAATAAAGACATATTTAACAATTTTATCATGAACTCAAATTTAGATCCAACCAGAGTACAGAGACAGCAAAGCTGATAGGACATCGTGGTCCTGTTTACAAAAGCAGATTTTTATCAGACTCCAAATCTTATGTTATGTCTTGTTCTGAGGATTCTACAGGTAGCAACAATTTTATAGATCAGTTTAATATGCTTGTAGTTGTAGCACTTTTTAGATTTTGTTTAGTAGTGCTAGCAAGTTGATCAAATGATATTTTATCATTTTAATATTGAAAAATCTGTACATATTTTTATTTATAACTATAACTGACTTATATTTTTTCAAAGTACGTCTTTGGAATATGTCAAGCCAGACAAATGTTGCTGTTTACAAGGGTCACAGTTCAGCAGTGTGGGACTTGTGTATTAGGTAAATATGAACAGTCTGCTTTTAGGTCAATACATTATTTACTGCACTGGTATAAATAATTGTGTACATTCTGGCATACTTCTTAATATTTATTGTGATTAAAGCAGCATCATTTTATCATCCAAAAGTAGTAAATACAGGAAACACAAAGAAACTAAACAATGAACATTCATTAAAAAAAAATCATTAAATTTCCCTAATAAATTTATTTGGGTAATGAGAGCTAACATTAATTATTTATATCTGTTTTGTCTATTTTTGTTTTCATGCTATTTACTATAATAAATGGTTCTTTTGTCAATTTATTTAAAAATATTTTCATAATGCTAATTAACTTCTGTATTTATTTTAGCTCCACAGATATTTGGTTTGCTAGTTGTTCACATGATAATACTGCGAAGGTTTGGTCATTTGACAGAACATATCCACTGCGTTCTTACATAGGGCACACATTTGATGTTGATGTAAGTTTTGACAGTTTACCAAAGCATTGTCCATTTTCTTGAACCTCACACATAATCTGGCTACTTGTATCATTAGTATCAATAATCAATGTATGGATATTTTGTTGTGATTAAATCAAAGGTCCTGTCTTATACCATTGCATCTGTTATAACTTATGATAAACTTTCTAACAAAAAACCCAAGTTCTTTTCAATATTATGAATGAGTTTGTCTTTGCCTTGTGGTTTGCTATAAGTAAATAGAATTAGAATATGCAGAAAAGATTCTAATAATTGAATCTGACCATTTTAATATACCTCAGAAATAAAAAAAAAATCAAACTTGCAACATATATTCTAAGTCTAATACTAATTGAAAAAAAAAGAACCCTATAAAAACGTCTTGCATTCCTAAAAGTTAAAGTAAGTTTTTTTTAATAAATCTGTCAGCCCTTCTAGTCTTAATACTGGCTTTGTTTTTTTTTCTCTCCAGTGTGTAGAATTCCATCCCAACAATAACTACATCGCCACAGGATCTGGTGATAAAACTGTTAGATTTTGGTCTTTATCAGAGGGGCGCACAGTCCGCTTGCTGCAGGGTCATAGAGGTTCTGTGTTGGCACTGGCTTTTTCACCAGATGGAAAACTGCTTGCATCAGCTGGTATGTAGCCAAGATAGTTGGTTAGTTCTCAAGTATAGAAGAATAAGTTGTGAACTGATAATGAGGTGCCCTGTTCTGGATCACACAAATGGCTGATGTATTATACTGGTCTGGGGAGTTCGAGTCTAATTAAAAGGATTAATTATAACCTAGAATCTAAACTATGTAAGGAAACATTACATTGTTCCCTTGCTTACCACAATTTACAAATAGCTAATGTGTACTGTTATTGCCATTGAGTTTAAAATGTATTTTTTATGCAGGATAGAGGATTTGACCTATAACTATAATATTGTGCTAAATTTTACTTGGATGTCAACATGGAAGTAAAAACTCCACTTTTGTCAGAACCTTCCCCATATATTCACTGGTTGACCCCCACACTTCCTTATCTATACATTGAAATTATATATTGAAGGCACTTGTGTTTATAAGGCCCCCTTGATATAATTACTGTAATTGTATTTTTGACTTGTTTCAGGTGAAGATAGAAGAATCAGAGTGTGGGATCTTGGATCTGGACAGATGTTAAAAGACTTAAGAGGACACAGCGATACTGTGTTTGCATTATCATTTGATGAAAACAGTTCAATATTGGCATCTGGTGGCTCCGATTGTTGTGTTCGACTGTGGGATGTTAAAAGAGCTACAGATTCACATCAGTAAATATTTTTATGGAGTTGTGTGTGTAGAGGAGGTGGTGGTGTCAGTATTGAACCGAGATGTAACTGCCTGCCTAAGATTTAAAAAGGCAGAATTTTTCCCCCTTTCTTTAATCTATCCATTAAAAATAATCAGGATCTGATATATTGCAGCCAGCCTACAGTCCCAAATTTTTTTATCTTACTGTACATTAATCATTTAATAACCCAATTTAACTTGCTTGAATCCGGGTTCAAGTCAGTAGAACGTCCCTGATTCTACCCAGTTCTGACTGGTACCTTACATTATGGAAATCAAGGCGGCTAGGCTTAGCACTGACCACACTATCCTTCATATGCAGAGGTCACAGGTGAATTCTACTTCACTTGCCCCATTCAGCATCAGGTTAAAAATGAAACTTTACTTTTTTTAAAACCACATTTGCCATCATATATCCCAGAATGGGTCAACCTAAAGACAATGAAAGTTTATAACTATAAATCACTAGCTTAGAATAGTGATATATTTAAATGTTAGAACTAGTAGAAATGAGACTTCCTGTTTGCCAAAACACATTGTAGGCCTCAATAAAATTGTGATCATGAGAAATTGGTAGGGGGTAGTGTGTGTGTAATGGAGATGTGTATAGCAAATACCCGCTTAGTTGAATAAAATTTGAGAACTGTGAATGTCTCTGAACATTTTCACACGCAAAATAGTCATCGATCAAATAAGTTTGCAATTACCATTTCAAATTTTTTACTTTCACATAATGAAGTGTCAGTCTTCCATTAAGACTGTTTCAAATTTTTTTTTATTACTCAACCTGTTTTCATTTTCACACCCTTCTGTTTATGTGGGTTTTTTTGTTGTTTTTTTTTACTAACTTTTAAAATCTTTTTTTCAGAATTGAAGGTCATTCATCCCCTGAACTGCTAGGAGCCTTTCCAACAAAATCAGCCCTCATATCTTACTTGTGTTTTGACAAGGTTCTTTTAGCAGCAGGAGCTAGTTCATAATGTTCTTAAGTTGTGGACAGAAATAGTGCCTATTGCATTGTGTAAAACACAGATCTTAATACAGACATTATAATAATTACAAGCTCTTATGTTGAAATTTGGTAGTACTATCATGCATCAAGTTTCATAAGGAAAAAATAGCTTGAAAAATGTGGATTCCCAATTCCTGACCATTTGTATTGTTTGGTAAAAAAAAATCTCTTGTTAATTGAATTTGTTACATTTTACTTATGTAAATACATGCTTTTATATGATATGAATTGTTTTGCTTTTGCATCCTTTTTTTCATCAATCGTAATTTTTGGTAAGATCACATACAAAAATAAACACCCACAATGTTTTTACACATACGCAATTTTTATTTTTCAAGTGGCCTAAATTGAAAAATTACTAACAAGCTTATGATTTTATGTCAATGGATTTTTTCCATTTGACTTTACATACAAAGTTGAGAGAACCAATTTAAGGTTTTATAATAAGATACAGTACTGAAAAAATACACACACAATGAGCAACACCAAAGGAAACGGTCTCTTCCTTCAAAAAAAAAATAAAAGGTTTAAAAAAAAAAATGGACACCTACAGTTGAAAATATTTTCAAAGGTAAGACAAGCAAAGTGTTAATATAAGCCAAGATGGATTACTTTTCTGATTGGTGTTAAAATAAGTTCTGGACTAAGGATCTTGGGATGGGATTGTTCACTTCTCAACTCTAACAACTGGAGAGGAGGCAAATTTGTTAAGGGCATAGACCTCTGAGCTAACTGATGATTAAACTTGCATCCTCACCATAAAGACTGGTGTCCAAAATAAGGATAAATAATCCACTATTTTGATATACACCACAAAAAAAATTTAATAGTGGAATTTTATTGAAAAAAAAAATCATTGCTAATGACACTTAGACAAAAACTTGTAAATCCACACTATTAATTCTTATGCCAAACATACCCAATACAAAGTTATGAATTAAAAAAAAAAGCTGGACATGTGACACTACAAAATGCTGAATGAGCTTTTCTCCTTGGTTAATATGCCATGTAAAAGCAATATCTTTGTCATGTGTGTTTACAAACACTTCTGTGATGAAGATTAGAAAAAAGAATTAAAATCCTAGATCTAACAATCAAATATGAAATTTAGCTTATTTCAGACTATCACTGACCATTGTTTTCAACCATTACTGATGACCAACAAAAAATCTTCACCTCCAAAAATAAATTACTTAGAATGACTATTATGCAGTGTGCCTCGATTTAAAAGGACAAGGGATTCAGTGTTCTTGAATCAGAAATAGCTATTACCATTATTCTAAAATATACTAAACTGCTGATAACACAATGCTGAGTGACAGAATTAAAATATGCCTAAGATAAAAAGCAGAATTGTAGGGGGAAAAACACTGAATTCACAACAAAGAATATTGATTATCTGAACAAGGAATCTGCACTTACTACTGAGGCTATCAGGAAAAAAAAACAACCAAAAAGTGGATGATTACCATTACACATAGTGAATAACCAAACCATCTACTTGGATCTTGTTTTCTAAAAAAAAAATAATAATCAACTTCCATATCTTACAGAAACAACTGGTGCAAATATTCTACTCATATTAAAAAAAAATGAAGATTTAGTGTTCTATTGAAAAAAATTGTACGAACAAACAGTCATGCAGCCATTCACATGTGATCACAGAAAAAATGTGTTATTTTCCTTACACTGACAGCTATAAGAGTGTAAAACTTGACATACACATTATTATAATGATAATATAAAGTTTCATAATAATCGTTATAGTTATAATGGGGATGAAAATGACTGAAGCAGAGATGAATCAGCATTTGAACCTACCATGACTATTTTGACAGACAAACTGGATGTATATGAAAGCTTAGTTTGCATTGACAACTGTGTCTGTGCTTATGTAAGCATGGTGAATTCGCTGGTGTGTATGCCATTAATAGCATAACCCTGTCATGTTCTTTGGGCCAGAAACCATCAAAACAATACACAAGTGACATTTGATAGAGTTAACCCTTCTCACAAGTAAAACAACGCAAACTTACATCTAGGCAAATAAAATGTCAACATAAGCAGAAAGCCATGCTTTAACTTATTTTGACGCAAAAATTAATTTTAGAAGTTGGTTCGAATTTTAAATCTTGTTCTAAAACTACAACAGATAAAATTTAATTTAAATCAAACAACTAAATTGCTTATTCAAGTTGAGACTAAATAGCAAACCCACTCCAACATTTTCATCAAACAAAACTGAAATACTAAATTAGAAAATAGTTTACTCATACAAAAATATCAAGTATGCAGAATTTATTATAAAAACAGTAAAAATAGCTAACATCTAACATTGTGATGTTACAAAATTATATTCTTGGATTTGTAAGAACTGAATAATCAAAATAAGTAAATGCAAATGTTTGCCTTCAACACATTGACAACAAACACACATTTTTAAACTAAGTGCTTTATTATTATCTGCCACAGTTGTAAAGATTAGCAATTAATTTAACTTTTAAAAAGAGCTAACTCCAGAGCCAAACTTTGCTCTGTTACATCACTCTGTTGCCTAGGTTACTGAAATTTATGGCAAAACTTAATATAAAAAGCTAAAGGGTGAAAACCAATAAACAATGCATTAGTAAAATGCATTTGAATGTGGTAAATTAAGATGGAAGTGTAAGAGCATTAATACGTTTGCACTATTTGTTGTGAGCTATGATGTCTCTAGACTACTGAACCCAAGTGATGTGGGGGTAAGGGAATTGATTTGATGAATGATAAGGGCTAGGACATGGATCAAGGGCGTGGATTGTAACATGAGGAAATTGATGACTGAAAGTTGTTTTTCTGTAAACTGCTTGAATTCATAATTAAAAGAAATGTAGTTATTAGACAGCCATACATATCACTGGTTTTCGGCTTCTTGCTCCACTTCTGCCTGCGAGTCAGATGTCCACAGCTGCAGGATTAAAAATAAACGTAATATATTATTTAATGCCTAAAGAAAACCAGACGTTTTTTGAAAGAAAACTCAACATTTTACTTAAAACATTCATATGGCTAACGGAATCTTAAAAAAGAGCCAAATAATTTTCTGATTTTAAATAAAATGCAAAAAACTCACTGTAAGATTATCTCGCAACAGCTGCATTATTAATGTGCTGTCTTTGTAGGATTCTTCATTCAACTGATCTAACTGGGCAATAGCATCATCAAATGCCTGTGGTAACAAAAAAAAAAGTTGTAAAATCAAACAGAAAAACGTTTTAACAAAAAAAAAAAAAAGATATTTCAAAAGTAATTAAATTATTTTTAGGTCTGTGTATTTAAATGTATAACTACTATAACTTACAGCTTTCGCCAACTTGCAAGCTTCATCTGGCTCATTCATGATCTCATAATAAAAGACTGAGAAGTTCAGAGCCAGTCCTAGTCTTATAGGGTGTGTTGGCTGCATTTTTTCTTTAGCGATCTCTGTAGCTTTTTTGTATGCCTCATTTGATTTGGCAACATTGACTGTAAAACAAACAAAAACGATGTGTAAAGTAAATAAATGTAGATGAAGCTGTAAGAAATTCATTTTTATACACACTTTAAAGTTTAGATTTTAGCCTCTCCTAAATGTACTTGTTTTTAGCTAAAGAAAATTTCTATTACCTTTTCTATCTTCTCCTACAGAGACTTCTGATAAGTAGCGGTAGTAATCACCCTGCATTTTGAGGTAGAAAACATGGCTATCGTGGTGGGCACTATCATCTTGGGCTTTTTGGATTAGATATTTAGACAGCAAATCCTGGAAAAATAAATTTATTTGATAAAATTCTACCCATTATAACAAGTAAAATTTGTTCTCTAACGACTCAATCTTGTAACATCAATTTTTTAATTCATACATGTGAATTCTTTTGACATGTTCTGTGATGGTTGATTCAGTTTTTGGACTAGTAATCTAATATACAATGCTGGGTACAACCTAATTATCTAATATATAGTGTAAATAGTGTAGACTGAAGAATAAATCTTGATTCACATACACATCTGCAGGGCAATTTGTGGTCTTATTTGGAATTGGTACTATTTAAGACTGAATAGCTTAGTGGTAGATTTTTTAACATTCAACAAAAAATGAAAAAAAAAGGTGTACTTGATCTTTAGAGTAGAGCTATTTAGGCCTACAATAATTGATTAATTAGGCCCAAGTATTTACCAATGAGTGAAACTGTGAATCTAGGACATACAGCTAAAAGCATTATTCATTATAACCATTACCTTTAGCGACCCAGGCCTAATCAAAATATTTGGATGATTTTAGATAGGCCTACCGATAATAGACTTTTCCATAAAATAGGTGTGTTGGGTTATTAGTAGTATTGTAATCTCGACAAATTTTATGGTTAGAAATTAGGGTAGGATTAGCAATAGCCAGCCAGCCATGTGTGTAATTAGTTAACTACCAGTAACCTTACACCCCTTTTATAAAGAAGATTCTATTATCACTGGTAGCTTATACACTGGTATAAAAATTCCCCAAAATATCTAAGTAGCCTATAAATTATAGGCCTATACAAATTATCAGACACTGAATACGTTTTCTCATGTAGACTCTAGTTAGATCTATTAAATTTAAGTGTAGAATCTACTGCCAGTAGACTCTAGGTCTTTTCATTTATTCAGTAGGCTTCCTCTCAACATCTTTCCAAACTCTTTGTAGGGGTCGGGATTTAGATCTTTAAGTATAGAACTGTAGATTCTAGATATCTAGACCTAACTAACTGAATACTGGAGATAGGACTACAACAAACACCCAGTTAGATTTAGATTTAACTTGACATGAATCATTAAAACAAAGGTAGATCTAGATTTATCTGATTTATCATTTGGGTTAGCAGTTAGATATGTTAAAGCTCAGGATTGAGACAAAACATCAAGGAATGAGTTAAGATTATTACGTGGTACGTTTTTATGTAACATTGGACTTGGTCTGGCTTTTGCCACATTGAATCTATTTTTGCTAGAATGGAGGCACACCACCCTACTCACCAAAACTTCATTGCAAATTGACTTAAGTTCTTCTTCAATGGTTTCTCGATATTTCTTAGCCATTTCAAGCTTTTTCTCACTGCCTTCGGTTTTAGATTCTATGCTTGAAACAACCCTCCAGGCTGATCTTCGAGCACCAACGACATTTTTGTAGGCAACAGACAGGAGGTTTCTTTCCTCGTTGTCGAGAGTCGCTCCAGAATTATCATCGGAGTAAACGTATTTTACACATGAACACATAGCACCTGACATGTCATCATACCGTTCAGCTTGCTCAGCAAGCTTTGCTTTGTGCACATACTGTTCCTTGAGAGTAAGACCCTGATTACTCATTTTAAAGCCTAAATTTTGTTTGAGCAGACCACGATTCTGCTGGAATGAAACAGAAATATTCCAAGATGGCGAGCGACTTGCCCTACTTTTAGATATTACTCACATAATTCAATAAGTCTATTTTTATAAAGAAAAGCCTTAAGTTTAAAAAGAAATTAATATTAAAATGTATTGATATGATTAAAAAATATTACGTATTTTCGCTTTAATATCTTAATTTAATTATATTATAGTTTAATTTACAAACTATTTTTATACGGGTAATTGTACTTCCGCAAAAATTGCAACCGTGAGAAAAATTACTCCGCAGTACCGAGAATGAGAATACGGAACTTGTCGGAAGATTTTGACGTCACAATTTCCATGGTAACGAAAAAAAGGGATTGTTTTATTCTTGACTATTTTAATATTTGATTAAATTATGTTATTTTGTCTTCAATATTGAGAAATTATTTAACTAAAAATGTTTTTATTTTATACTTGAAGAAGCTATATTATATTAACATTAAAATTCGAAACTAAACTGATTTCCAGAGTGAAATTTTCAGACATCCATTTCTTTCATGTTAAAAGTAAAAAGTTTTGGTTTAGGCCTATAGGACCATGCTACACTTTGATGCCAAGTGGGCTTGACCGTGTAGGCATACCAGAGATCTAAATCTAGATCTAATGACTAATCACTAAGCCCAATGCAAAACACTAGATTCCCCCTTCCCTCCAAAAAAAAAAGACATTAAACTTATTGCATTTTGTTAATAACACGTTTCTAATTTAATAAAAATTGCTTTAGTTTTTAATCAAATAATTTACTTGAAGTAGATATATCTATATTTGTTTGACTATCTTTAAAATTCAATAACTAGGCTAATTAATACTTGCACAGGCTAATTATATATATATATATATATATATATATATATATATATATGATATATATGCCTCTTTATAGCTTACTATGTTTTTCACATGAAATATCTGGTAAATTAATTTGAGCATTGTCTCAACGAAATGTTGAGAGTAATATATATATATATATATATATATATATATATATATATATATATATATATATATATATATATATATATATATATATATATATATATATATATATGAAAAAGTGGTTTTTACATACACATCGAAAAATGAGGGGGAGGGGGGTTATAGAGAAGGGGGCATTTTAGCATTTCGAAAAACTATGCAAGTGGCTAGGCTTTTATGACGTATGTTGAGAGAAATGTTAAATAATTTCTGCTATTTATATAAAAAATAAAAAAAATATAGAAAATCCTACCACTGTGAGTTAAATGCGAGACGCGAACCTGTTAATTTAGCAAAGTGTTTTGCTGTACCGATCATTGACAACCTGTACCTGTGAGTTATAGGCCCTCATTATAATTTATTTATATTTAAAAAAATGTTATCTCAAAACTACATATAAGTAACAGCAACACACCTACTTAACTACACTTTTTGGAAACAACACTAAGCCTATATCTGCACAATATCAATAGTTAGTTGAAAACTATGTGAATTCTTTTTTTTTAACAGTTTGGTGTAAGCAGAAATAAAAAAAAAAAAGGCCAATGAGCTATGCTGAAGGAATCTAGAAATTGGAAATCTACCGAAATTAAATTAAATTTAGCCAATTGAAGTCTAGATCTATATCCCTAATACTTAATGCACGGGAATCCGAGTTCCTACTAATAAAGAACCCGTATTGAAAAAATAACGAATTATTTAACGTAGAACCTACATTTTAGTGGTAGGCCTATACAGGGGCGTAGCGAGGGGGGGGGGCGGGGGTGCGCACCGGGTGACACCATTTAGGGGGGTGACACCAAGGCAAAAAATAGCAAAATATATAGAGAAAAACTCGCGGGGGGACTGCAAATCGAAAGTTTGAGGGGGGGGGGGGGGGGGTTGCAAATCGAAAACTTGAGGGGGGGGGGGGTTGCAAATCGAAAGTTTGAGGGGGGGTGCAAATCGAAAATTTGAAAGTTTGTCCCTGGGAAGGGTCTCTATGCCTCTGGGGGGGGGGGGGTGACACCATTAAGTGCCGTACCGGGTGACACCCGACCTCGCTACGCCACTGGGCCTATACGACTATTAGGCCTACTTTTAATTTAAAAGTACGGGCCTTTATATATAACCTGCCTGCGATGGCATTTAGGTCTATTTGCTTAAGTGTTTGTTTTAAAATGATTGTTAACGTTCACCGTACAATTTGTGGGATTAAAAAAACAAACAAAAAAAAAAATACTGCTAGTGGTTGTTTAGTCAGCTAAATTTAACCATTATAAATATGGAATTAGGCCTACTTCTATGCAGAGGCGTAGCGACCCTTCCCGGCGCCCGGGGCGAACTTTCAATTTGGCGCCCCCCCCCCCGCTTATATATATATTATTTATATATATATATATATATATATATATATATATATATATATATATATATATATATATATATATATATATATATATATATATATATACATGTGTGTGTGTATAATTATGTGTGTGTGATAGTGTGTTTATATATAAGCTTGTGTGTGGGTAAGAGTGTATTTGTGTGTGTAAGCGTGTGAGTAAGCGTGTACGCTACAGTCCGGACAAGGTTTAATAATTACATTGTATGATTTTCATTCCTTAAAACTTTACGACAATTTAATTCCCATTAAGATGCGTTTAACTTTTTTTTACGAAAAATTAGTAATGTCAGTAAAAAAAATAAGCCTGATCTGTGTTAGAGGGTAGTTTGTAGCTAACGCTAATATGTTTAGACCAGCCTTTAATGTTCTAGTTTTGGAACGATCTCTGTTGTGATATGGTACATAGTTGGATTCGAAGTTTGTTAGAGTAAGGACACACAAGTGACATACAAGAAGAAGTTATCAGAAATATTTATAGTTCACATTGGAATACGACATGGGTATTTCGTTGATTGGTTGATGGTATGACAAAACAAGCTAGAGAAAACAAACTGGAATCCAACGGATGTTAACAGCTCGTAGTCTTGAATTTCGCAGATTAGCCCTGCCTTCTCGCACACAGAGTTTCTTCCAGGCATCTCTTCGGGGGGGGGGGGGGGGGGGGGGGGGGCGAAGCCCCCCGAAAAATTTTACCGCCCCCCCCCCCGAACGAAATGAAATTTATATATAGAAAATATATACGTTTAACAGTGTCCGCCCCCCCCCCGAAGAAAGTCTACCGCCCCCCCCCCCCCCCCGAAAATTTCAAGTGCCCCCCCCCCCCCCCCCCCCCCCCGAAGAAAAAAGTCTGGAAGAAACACTGCTCGCACAACGTCAACAACAAATGCAGAACTAATTGTATTGATTGAAGAAGCAGTAACAATCAATTTAATGATAGCCCATGACGTTCTGATTATAATCAGCAGCAATAAAACGCGTTTTAATACTCTAAGAAAATGTAGAATTAATTCAAATGCATTATCAAAAAAATTCAATCAGGATCTATAACTAAATGTGGTCTCTTTTACTGTATGGCTTGGAGCTAGATTACAGACAGTGGAGAATGAAATAAGAGCATGGAAAAAAGTGGTGGTTAGTGGCTTAGGGATTCAAGAATCGGTGATATTTAGTTCTCTTTAATATAGTTCAGTCATCCAGGTAAGATGTAATGCAATCAATCAAAAGTATCTGATCTCTCACGTTGAAGTTGAGAGAATCGTAAGAATCTTACAAAGAACTAGTCGCGTCTTTTTTTTAAAACAAAACTGGCTATTGAAATTGTACATTACGCGTTAATACACTTGGTTTCTTTACTAAGTGTTAAGAGAGTTATCTGCTCACCAATCCAGTACAAATACTTGCGATTTTTTTAGCGAAAAAAGCGCCCCCACCCCCCCACCCACACACTCATCACAACCATCTTGGACAAAGTTTGTAGAGCGGTTTTTAACGTAACAAACTTTTTTTAAAAAATGTTACACAATTATACAATGCACAGTACAATTCGTTTCTTTCTGAGAGCTAAAGGTTGTTTTCTCAGAATCCTGTGTAATTTTGCTATTTTATTTAGCCTAAAAGCGCCCCCCCCCCTGCACCATCTTGATAAAAGTCACTAACGTATTTTACAGTTCAACAATCGTACAATACGTTTCAATACAATTGGTTTCTTTTAATAGTGTAACGTTTATCGACTCAACAATCTAGTGTAAATTCTTCCGTTTTAAGTCTCGAAAAAGCGCCCCCCCCCCCATCTAGGTAAAGCTTCAAAGCGGTTTTGCCGGTCACTGTTTCTTAAGAGTATATGTTTTACATTAAGAAATCAAGGTAGAAAACAGTTAAATCAGTTTGTAAAGGCGTGTAGCCATTACATTTCTTAACTTAGACAGTTTATAATTCAAAACTGCAGCATAAAATCAGCTTTAAAATTTTTTTCCCACCCCTTTTGGCGCCCCCAAAGGGTCGGCGCCCGGGGCGGCCGCCCCCCCCCCCGCCCCCCCCCCCCCCTAGCTACGCCTCTGCTTCTATGAAAATAGAAATTGTTAAAGTTAAAGTTTTTCTACCCGGGTCCTAACCCAAATCAAAACCCTTGCTTTAACTTTATCGTATTCCTAACTATTCGATACTGTCGAGCTTTCTATTATAGTATAGTAGCCCTTGTAGCCCTTATCCTTTGAAAAAAAAAGACAACTAAAGTCTAAGTAGACATAGATCTATGTTTGCTTTTACAATTAGAAGATGGCTAAAAATGTAATAGAGTTAGGCCCAATCGTAACGGAACCAATGTTTGGCCAGTAGTAAGCCTTAAACTTATATAGCCTACATAGTAATAGAATTGACTATAGCTCAGAAGTCCCCGTTGTTCCTTCTTTCTCTGTCTTTCGTCGGGTAGGCCCTACGCATCGTAACTGGTTGGAACCATGATGAATTTCGTCTGCATGCATTATTAGAAAGTCGAGAAATTTGACCTAAACCCCATTTCTCTCCCGACAAAATCGGCCACCAAGCGCCACGCCTAAAATGACGTCAGACAGTTCCTCATCTTTTTTCATTATTTTTAGAAATACGAAATATTGTTACATCACATTTCCTAACTCAAAGTGTATAGTAGGCCTCTAAAAAATCTGCCCCCTCCCCAAAAGTAGTTGTTAAATTTATGGGCCATAAATAACTGATGAAACATACCTGTGTTTTGTAAATGAGAATAATGGAAGCCTCTAAAAAGTGATACTTTTATTTGGGTACCATTCATCCTAGGTTTATAAACTTTATAGGCCAAGGCTTTTTACTATTCTAGTGATCTGAAGATCAACTTTCTTTTTTTTTCTAAATTACGATACATACAATTTTTTTCCCATAAAAATCGTTTTAATAACAAGCTTTTATGTACTAATGCACTAAAAAGTAGAAAATAAATTATTTTTTATAGACTACTATTTAAATAACTATAAAGAAAAGCGTGAGTCACTTTAGTATCTATTGGATACATTTACTAATGTTTAGGAAAAGACCCACGCTTTTCTTTATAGTTATTTAAATAGTAGTCTATAATTTATTTTCTACTTTTTAGTGCATTAGTAGGCCCTTCGGCCCTACATAAAAAGCTTGTTATTAAAAACGTTTTTTATGAAATTTTTTAGTACTTTACATGTTTTTATTTACAATAGAGTTTCATGACTAAAAACCATTGCGCGCCTATTGAACGTAATGACGCGTGTGGTGTGGTTGGATAGAAATGCCTACTAATTTGGTCAAAATTGTAATTAATTCATAAAAAATTAATTAGGCATCCAATTAAGTCAAATTTAATATCACAATGCATTGTCTTCATGTCTTGACCCACGTACCAATTACGAACCGCAGTGGCGTAGCGAGGTCGGGTGTCACCTGGTGCGGCACTTAATGGTGTCACCCCCCAGAGGCGTAGCGACCCTTCCCGGGGTCAAACTTTCAAATTTTCGATTTGCATCCCCCTCAAACTTTCGATTTGCACCCCCCTTTCAAATTTTTTTCTATATAATTTGCTATTTTTTGCCTTTGTGTCACCACCCTAAATGTTGTCACCCGGTGCGGTCCGCACCCGCCCCTCCCCCCTCGCTACGCCTCTGACGAACCGTATCTGTCAAGTAGAAATAGCAATGTAACCACGACAGACTGTCGACAGAGGAAGTGAGTTAAACAAAAGCTTGCAAAAAAAAAGACTTTAGGCAGGTACTTATTAGAGGGACGGAATATCTGACTATCAAAATCTTCTATTAGTTATTTCGCCTGAGCTCTCCCCCCCCCCCCCCCACCTAATCTATGTCCATTTAAAAATTAAAATCGCGTCATTATTTATGGTTATATATCTGTATTATTTCCCTTTCTCCACGCCCCGCAATAGTTTCCGCTTCCGTGTTTGGGTTTATTTAGACTATCCACACGTGTGGAGTAGAAGTAACATTTTAGCTTTGTTTTGAAACCACACTAAGCAGCTTAATTTTAATTAAAATGCCAAAATCTAAAAGAGATAAAAAGGGTGAGTTAATAAAACCTTAAATAAATACAATTTATTTAGATCTACGTCATGTCTGTATATCTTTCAATTTCAATTTACACAAAAAGAAAAGAGGCAGTCTTCTGGCACTTCTGCTCTAAAAAGTGGTTTAAAAAATACCCCCCCCCCCCCGCCCATTTCCTTGCTAGATCTATCTCTGTAAATGAATTACTCGCCCCCCCCCCCCCCAGGTATAAGCATGTAAAAATACTTGAACTGACAAAATAAAGTAAAGCTCATCCTTTTCTGTGACCACTGCATACAATTACAAAAGGCTTTTGTGGTCAATTTTATTTTTATATTCAGCTGCCTAGTTTTAATGTAGTTTACCTTGGCTTACTAACTAGTACTAACTACCTAGCTCTTTAGGTGGATTCTGGGAAGTCCTATGCTATAGATCTATCTGGAGGCCAGTTAGACGTGAGATCTTGATTTAGATTTTAGAGACTTTACTAAAAAAATATGACACAGGAGTATGGATGGACTGAGTTTGGGATCTGAGAACTTGAGATTAGCAGTCCCTGCACACAGTTGAGAATCATACATTAAATATACATGCCTGGTCCTAATTTTTTTAGACTTACTACTTACTAGCAATACTAGGTAATCTTGCATTAAGTCCAAGCTTCTTGTTTTACTTGTTTCATCTCTCTTTTCAGTTTCCTTGACACAAACAAGAAAGAAAGGCTTAGAGTTAAAGCAAAAGTTGATAGAAAGGGTATGTATTTACTTACGCTTTGAAAACATAAACATGCTTCCACAGAGGCGTAGCGGGGGGGGGGGGACAACAACAAATTAAAAGTTTGAGGGGGGGTTCAAATCGAAAGTTTGTCCCCGGGCGCCGGGAAGGGTCGCTACGCCTCTGTGCTTCCATAATATGTCTTAAAGTTTTAAGGGTATGAAAGGTAAAAGTACACTATGATATTAAAAATAAACAAATGTGGGATAATAATTAGGACAAGCTTCATTATTATATATTTTCAAGTTCCTGTGTTAGTTGTTTTCTCTTTTAGTAAACATAAAAGTTTAAAACTATAGATCTCTCTATAATCCATGTTGAATGCTGGTGCTTTAACCCCCTTTATTTTTTTATCACGAACATTCTGCTGTAATTTAAGTTAATAATTTCAACGGTTTAATTTAAACAGATTAGAGAGACAGCAGACCAGTATGCAAGAATCTTCACATTTTCAGTCCATAACATGAGAAATGTTCAACTCAAAGAAATTCGTCAGCAGTGGAACCACAGCAGGTATTAGGTTATTATTTATACTAATATAATATGTACAAGGATTAACCTGTCTTTTTCTCACTGAAACCTACTAAATTTCCTACAAAAAGTAAAGACCCCTGTCATTCCTGTGTATTTAATATTATCATTTATGCCACACAACTCTCACTAAACATGTCCATTCCTTGATTCAACTTCTTATTATACATGTTTTTATCTTGTACTTGTAGATTTTTCTTTGGAAAAAACAAAGTGATGCAGTTAGCATTAGGTAGAACAGCAGATGAAGAATACAGAGAGAATCTTCACAAACTTACCCAACACCTGCAAGGACAGACTGGGCTTCTCTTCACAAACTCTAAAGAAAAAGAAGTTTTAACGTAATTTAAAGTCTGAAAATACTTGTAATAATAAAATAAATAATTATACAATGTCACTTATGACATTGATAATTTTAAATAGGGTTTTGAAATATAGTTTTAGTAAACATGACATTTTCATAACAGTATCAACCACCATTTTTGCCAAAGTAACTTAGTAAATATTAAATCCTTGTATTGAGATATAATAATATTACAATGTGACTTAAACTGAATGTAATAACAAATAAGACTCCTATAAAAGAAGGTCCTTTTATCTCTGCATTTCTTGCTATTTAACCTGTAGAAGAGAACTGTAAACTATAATAGTTCAATTCATGTTAAGCTCATATACGAATATTCTAGATAATAATTTTTAAATTTAAAAAAAGTAAACCATGTAATTTAATAGTTCATTTTCACTTTCAGGCTTTGAATATGTATTTTAAGAAAAATATTTTTTAATAACTTAGGTTCTTTGATGAGCTGTACATCCCAGATTATGCCAGGTCAGGCGCTATAGCCACACAGACTGTTGTTCTAGAGGAAGGTCCACTCCCAGAGTTCAGCCACTCACTAGAGCCTCAGCTTAGGCAGCTGGGCCTACCAACACAACTTAAAAAAGGTATTTGGTTCAGTGAAATAATCAAGTTTTAAAAAAACCCTTATGATGGGCAGATGTATCTTTGACCTCGTGAGATGATTGTGCGGTTAGTGCTACAAGCCTGCCTGTCTGTTTTTACATTCACAGAGATATTGTATGTTTTATGCCAATAAATGAGAGCTTCAGATTAGCAATTGTGTGCTTTGCATCTCCAATCCTCCTTCTTAGTTAGATCTAGATCTAACTACTAATAAAACTACCTACAACTTTTATTTGATTGCAAAATAATGCTCTCTTAAAATAACTAATTAAACCAAGCTACCAATTTTGACTCTATCATAAGACTTTTTTTAATGACTAAGTTGTTTGATCAAGCACCTTACACAACAATAAAGGAAAAGAAGACAAATCCCAGTGGAGCGAGAAATTCTGAAAAGAAGGCGGAGAGGACTATATGTTAAGGAAAATGGCAACAAGTGTTTCCAGAAAGGGCAGATCATGGAATCCACAAGGATCAAGGACACTTGGCACAGAAAATGACTTGACAAAACCTCGGAAATATGTTGTAAATAGCCCATGCTCCTTTTGGAAGTTGAAGAGGGCACACAAGAATATAGTGCAGTCCATACATGACCGGGAAGAAAACACCAAGAAAATTTAATACACCTGGGGACAGTTGCAGAGACTAGCCTAGGACAGAGATACCTGGAAAGCTCTAGTCAGCTGCCTTTGTCCTAGGAAGGATGACAGGCTAACCTAACCTATTACATGTTAATATACTTATTTCATGAAGAATATTGATTCCATTAAGTTTCCATTAATTGTTTTTTCAGGTGTCATACAGTTATTAAATGAACACACAGTATGTGAAAAGGGACAGGTCCTAAACCCAGAACAGTGCAGAATTCTTGTAAGTTCATTGTTAGTGTTGACCAATGTTGGACTTTGCCGCCAGACACTGGGAAAAATCTATCTGGCTGCCAGGCACTGTACAGCAAAATTAATATAGCATTTAGATAAAGTAAGATTCCATCAAAACAGAAATTTTGTTAATTTCTCTCTCTTAGTACAAAGCCATCGACCAAAGTTATTTCAAGCAGCTAATTATAAAGCAAAAGTTATCTGTTCATTCCCTTAGAAGAAAATGTATAGTTATTGGGGTCTAGCAGCATGTTTTGTACACAAATATTTCAATTTTTAAGGCCACAACGCCACCAGAACCCCTGTACACTCAAGGTGTTGAATTTAAGATATTTAAAATATTAAGTGTCATATTACAACAATAATTATCTAAAAATTATTTATTATAGTATATAAATTAAGCCTTTTACTTATTTTTCTAGATTATTTATTAGTTCAAATCCATTTACAAATATGTGCATCTTTGATTAACAAATAATTTTTTCCTATAATCCAGAAATTATTTGGGCATCAAATGGCAGAGTTTCATATCACAATTGATGGGATGTGGAGCAACACTGGCAAATGGAAAAAGTTTGACAGCAGGCCAGAACATATTTTACCTAGTAAAGTTAAGGTCAAACGTGAGTAAAAACTTTTATATTTTCTTCTTGCTGCTTATTAGATGTAGATGCTAAATTAGAGATTTTAAGGACTTGCCTGATGATCAATGGGTTAGAAATAGAAGGAATTATTCCATGATAAAGGCATTATTCTGCCCAATTAGAGTTCACTGTAATGATGCAATTATAATAATTGTAATTTTGTGGAAAAAAAAATATTTTGACAAAGCTTGACATTTTAAACCCTTCTAAATCTGAAAAACTTAGTTTTGCAATCTTGTCTGTGTGTGTATGTGAACATGACAACTTGTGTACTGTTCAGTTAGCTTGATAAAATTTCATATGCACGTATTTAATAAAAGTAGTTTTCTTTCAACTTTTGGGCAATTTTGAGCCATTTCCAGTTATCAAAAACAATACTTTATTTTTAAAAACTGAAACAGCCTTCAGAATTTGATGGCTTGATATCATATTCTCATAAAGTACATTGTAAGAACTTTTCACCTCTATTTTTTTACAAACTTCTATATTTCTATGGCCAAGATTCCACTTGAGGTTTTATCCCAACCCTTACTATTATGAAAATAAGAGAGAGTTTTAAGGGAGCTCATCCAGCTTTATCTGATTCTTATCATGTGTTCTTAGTTTCCTCCCTTTAACAGCCAATTGATAAGAATATTTAATTAATGTGAAAATTGAAAATGATAATGTAGCTACTATCTGAAATTTTATTCTGAAAGTGTTTTCAAACAGGCCTACCTGATTGAATGAACTGAATCATACAGCTAATGAATTAATTTAAAAAATATTTGTTTCCCAATAAACATTATTGTGGAATATGGTGGTGGTAAACCCCCCCCCCCCCAACACACACCCTCCCACACACAAACCCACACAACTCTTGATGCCCTAAACACTTTACTTAACCAATAATCCATCCAGTCTGACTGTCAGTTGTACAGAGTAACATGTACAATTGAAACTGTTTGGTGTATTACTTAAAGTAATCACACTTTTTACACTTTTTTTTACAGCGAAAAAAGATGATTCAAAAACAACAGATGATCTTGAAGCTAAAATGGATGATGATGAAGAAGAAGAAGGGGACGAAGATGAAGAAGATGATTCATGATGATTTTTGTTTATTAAATATTATTTTACAACTTTGGCGTTTCTTTTATTTGTTTATCTTGTCACTTTATTATAGAGATAGTTTTGGATTCATATTTAACTATTTTAAACCTTGCCAATGCAGTGAATCAGCATTTTTTTGTACATCAATTGTTCACAACAGTATAATCAGTTTTTGTTACAGGTCAAATCTAGCCTTGATTTAACTCCTGATTGGTTTTCCTTCACTGTGGAGTTTTTTATTTGAAAAGGTGCTTTTTTTTTTTCAAATGTACTCGTTAAAAAATATTGTAATCCCATTTTGCTACGGTACTAGTAACACAGGAAAAGTAGTGTTGAAACTACACAGAGGTTGATTTTTAACTCGTAGTTACAACAGTCACTGCTACTTCTTTCTATTTAGTGTTCCACTTTGTGAGTATTGACCATTGTATTATAGCTAGAAGACATTGTTCATTTCTTTTCACAACATTCAGTCAGTTTGCTGTTACCTGGTTTCTTTATATAAAAGGAAAATTTACAATTTGATGTTTAACTCAAAATATACTGCTGATAAAAACTCATTTACTAAAACTTCAGAGTACATTCCAACAAAGAATATGACCATTGTGCCGTACACATTTTTTCTGATGCTAATGAAGAAATGTATGAAAAAATTACTTGTTTATGTATTATTATTATTATCCAATGATAATATACTCAAATTGTGGTCACTGCATCCATTGGTCCAGTAGTGTTTAACTATTTCAGCTACTTATGATGTTGAGTAATTGATGTCTGGCAGGGCATTTGTGATTTTGGATGGTGACACTTTAAAAATAAACTTCTGACCTAGGAGAATGAAGCAGTTTGAATTAGGAAAGTTAAACTTAAAATAATCTAAAAGCAATATTCAAAGAACAATTCTGATTTCAAATATGACTCGGACTTTAACCCCCCCCCTCCCCATACCCTTGCTCCCCCACCAGGTAGGTGTTTTAGACAGTCATTTTATAAAAAACCTAAAATGGAAATTTCGAACGTAAAATTACGCCATGCTACATTTGAGTATTTTTAGTAGACTACCACCCCTCATACGACACACTTTGTATTTAAGCTCAAAGAATACATTTTTGCAGGTTATTATTTTCTCTTTCCACTTCATTACTTCGAAATGGTAGAGATTACTTTAACTGCTACACTGAAAAGTATAACTTCCCCTTGTAATGGTAGAACATTACTAAACTGGTAGAATAACCCTCTTAATGGTAGGGATTATCCAGGGGCGTAGCGGGGGGTGCGGACCGCACCGGGTGACACCATTTAGGGGGGTGACTTCAAGGCAAAAAATAGCAAAATATATAGAGAAAAACTTGAGGGGGGGGGTGCAAATCGAGAGTTTGAGGTAGGGTGCAAATCGAAAACTTGAGGGGGTGGGTGCAAATCGAAAGTTTGAGGGGGGGGGGGGTGCGAATCGAAAGTTTGAGGGGGGGGGGTGCAAATCGAAAATTTGTCCTCGGGGTCGCTACGCCTCCGGGGGGTGACACCATTAAGTGCCGCACCGGGTGACACCCGACCTCGCTACGACAATGCGGATTATCTTACTTTAACTATCTTCTAGACTGGTGAAAACATAACTTCCTCAAAATGGTAGATATTAGCTTACTTAACGTAACAGTACTAATAAAGGAATAACATGCCCTCGGATTTACTGGTTAAAGACCCGTCTAACGTTACCAGGTTAAAAATAGAAAAAACCCCAACTGAAGCTTTTGTTAACACAGATATTTATCTTTGGTGATAGGAGACAGGAAACCACTGTCATCCTTCAACAGACCAAATTGTGTGCTGTCATTTCTAACGACCGAATGTACTATCTCCCTGCAATCACAATTTGTAATTTAAAAAAAAAAGTCGCTGCTAGCATGCTAGTAATAATACTAATAGATTGACACTGTTCTTTATATGAAGTTGATTGTATTCAGAAGCGTAGCGACCCTTCCCGGCGCCCGGGGACAAACTTTCGATTTGCTCTCCCCCTCCTCAAACTTTCGATTTGCTCTCCCCCTCCTCAAACTTTCGATTTGCACCCCCCTCAAACTTTTGATTTGCACACCCCCCCCCCCCTCAAACTTTTGATTTCCACCCCCCTCAAACTTTCGATTTGCACTCCCCTCAATCTTTTAATTTGTTTTTCCAACCCATTTTGGCGCCCCCTAAGGTCGGCGCACGGGACATATGTCCCCCCCACCTCGCCACGCCTCTGATTGTATTCTAATTGAATACAATCAACTTCATGTAAACAACAGCAATAAAATATATAACAAGCAAACAACCTCATCAAACTATTATAATTACCACTATGGGGTAGGGGGTTGTCCATAAATGACGTCGCATTTGTAGGGGCGAGGGGAGTCCGTAATTTTGCGTCGATGTTTGATGATATGATATTTTGACGTCATACTTTTGCATTTTAAAAAGTAATGTTAGAAACTGAATTTTAGCCTCTTTTTCGCATTTTAGAAAACTGTTGTAATAAATTATCATATAGACATTAATTAAATTACCATATGTTGACCGCGCTCAGTCAATAATTTAGATTCAAATCAATGTTGTAAAAAATAATTCAATTTCGAGTTTCTTCAAGGCATCTACTCTAAAGGGGGGGGGGGGGGGGGGAAGAATAAGTCTACCCCCCACCCGAAATGGAATCTATTTAGACAATATATAGGCTACTTTTGTAGTAGTGTCCGCCCCCCCCCCCCTCCCCGGGAAAAACAACAACAAATTATAAATAAATGTTAAAAAAATGAATCTGGCGATTAAAAAAACACACAGTTGAGTGCCTCTGAGCAATAAGCTACAACTTGTTTAGCTAGCTTATGCGTCAACCCGGCACTGCCGATCTTTATAACCACATCAACTTATCGTCACCCCATCGCTTAAAACTACAATGACATAATAAAATTCTACTCCCTCTAGAATCTAGAAGCATTTTCCCAAAACGTTTTCCCCAGAAAAATTAAATGCTCTTAGGGGTCGTCCATTGATAACGTCACACTCGTAGGGGGGAGGGGGGGGGGAAGGGGTTCGTAGTTTTGTGACGGTGTGTGATAAGGGGGAGGTGGGAGGTGTTCAGATGGTGTGACGTCACACTTTTGCATTATAAAAAAGCAATGCTAGAAAACGAACTTTAGCCGTTATTTCGCGTTTTAAAAAACTGTTTTAATGAATTGTAATAGGAATTGATTGATACACTTCGGGCAGATGAGGCTCGTTAGCTGGGGACAGCCACTCTTCTAGGAGAGACAACTCCAAAATCAAACAACTGCTGCCTTGTAGTTTGTTCTTGGTTGGACAAAGGCTATGGAAGCAAATCCAAAAAGAAAAGCAGGCTGAAATCGGAGTCAATGGCCTCAATGGCGCATAACCAGTTGACACGTATCCTTAATTGTGATGGAAGCATAGTCGAGTCGGCAAAAAGCTCATGGTTGATAAATTCGAAAAAGTCTCGAGTTCTCTGGCATATAAGGCTCGATCCCTTCCAACACTAAAAATTAAGAACGAAGAAGAAGAAGATTGATACACTCCATAGCCTTTTAAGAAAAAATCAACTTCAACTTTGAAGGGGGGGGGGGGGGGTTGTAGGCTGAGGTGTGTCGTCATTTTAGGGGGGGGGGGGTCTGGCTTTTTGTGACGATGTGTGAGGGGAGAGGTAAAAATCGTAGAAAAACGCATGTCGTACTTAGTGACTACGACCACATGCCCATAACATCACCCCCACGCACTTAATTTTTTTTAATCAAAAGGATACTCCTAGAAACGAAAGAATTTTACAAAACTAAATACCGAATTTAAGACGTTTGACATGGTTTACCCACGTACACTGGGTTTAAACTTCCGCGTGAACTGTTTGGGTTATACTAAAACCCAGAAGTCACCCTTCACCACTCACACATCTGAACTAGCACTGGAAAACAATCTTTAGGAGCACATCTACAAAATACTAGTTTGGTGTAGGCCTACAGGAAAATAAATACACATCATTATGTCTGTAAGTGTAATTCTTTCTAGACAGTTAGGAGCTTACATATACATAAATAGGAATAACATATGACTAAAGTAATATATATATATATATATATATATATATATATATATATATATATATATATATATATATATATATATATGTATGTATATATATATATATATATATATATATATATATATATATATATATATATATATATATATATATATATCAGGAACATACATACATACATACATACATATATAAACTAACTTTGTCTTAACCCTAACCCAGTGTAACACTATTGTTTAGATGTTTATGTGATATTAAGGCAGATATATGTAGATACATATGCGTTTGTGCTAATGTTAAGTTTTATTTGTGTTAGGCAGAAATTAGGGTTTGGATTTGTCTAAAATTTATGGACGCGCGAGGGTTCATGATAATGATGATGAGGATGATGATGATGATCATGATCATGATTATCATCATCATCACCACCACCATCATCATCATCATCACCACCATCACCACCACCATCATCATCATCATCAACACCATCACCATCACCATCACCATCACCATCACCATCACTATCACCATCACCACCACCATCATCATCATCATCACCACCACCACCACCACCATCATCATCAGCACCACCACCATCATCATCATCATCACCACCACCATTATCATCACCACCAACATCACTATTATCATCATCATCTTCATCATCATCATCATCATCATCACCACCAACACCACTATCATCATCATCATCATCATCATGCTCATGCTCATCACCACCACCACCGTCATCATCATTTTTATCATCATTATTGCTACCATCATCATCATTGTTATCATCATCATCATCATCATCATCATCATCATCATCATCATCATCATCATCATCATCAACATCATCATCATCACCATCATCATAATTATCATCATTCCTGTGGACCCCTTGTGGAATCTCCAGACGCAACCACACCTCTTCATCGTACTCAGTTTTGGGCTACTCCTCCAAGCTTATCCCACCACATTCCGACTGCTTCTGCTTCCCTGAGAACTAATCTCTACCAATTTAAACATAAATAAGCTGAAACATAAACATGATATTTCCCCAGTCACCGTACACCACCGAGTTTGGATCCCAGAACTTGACCGTCGTGGTCCAGCAGCCCACAGTTTCTACCACCATTGTGGAGAACGACTGGCACGCCTCGCTTTTTGGTTGTTGCTTCGACTGGAAAATTTGTGAGTTCCATGTTTTTAATGTACCGTGATATAAATAGAACTGAGCGTAGGCTAAGTTAGAAGGTCGCTCGGTCTACTAGCCCCGTCAAACTACTGTAACTATATAGAGACTAATTTGTGGGAGGGTAGAGCATACGACTGCTTACCCGAACGTCTCGAGTTCGAATCCCGGGTTCGCTTCGGTAAAACGTCCCCGAAATCCACCCAGTTCTGATGGGTTCCTGATAAGTGCTAAAAGTACCAAAATCACACAATATTATCTCTTTCATAAATACGTTCTGTGATTGGTTTAATTTTGGTACTTTTAGCACTAAAAGTAAAGTTCCCTTTCAAACCTGATGGTCTGTAGGGCAAGTTAAATAGAGTTAACTTGCATATGAAGAGATAGTGTGGTCAGCACTATGCCCAGCCACCTTTACTTTCTTAACGTGAGTTAGGTACCCATTAGAGTTGGGTGGACTCAGGGACGGTCTACTGACTTGAACCCGGATTCGAACTCGAGACTTACGGGTTGGCAGTCAAGCTCTTACCGCTAAACCACTCCGTCCACTTTTAGCACTAGGCTCTTAATATTTCAATTGTACAGTGGTTAAAAATAGAATAAATATAAATAATTTATATTCTAAATGTTCCAATTACATTAATTTAAACATGTTATAATGTATCCACAACAACCGATTATGTACACATAAACAGTTAATTCTTTATGGCACCCATTTTATTGGGTCTTTCAAAATAAATGAAATAAAACACAATAAAATAAAAAAAATAAACCGGGAGTGATCTCCCCTAAACTTTCTCGAATATTTTTATATAAAATAACAGGGGATCTGAACTCGGGCTATAGACATGATTTTTAATCCATTTTAAATACTTAAAGTTTTAAAAATAGAATAAAATCTCGTAGACAAAAGAATTGCACACCGAGTGAACGATTACAAGACTTTCTCTATACTTCGTATATACGAGAAAGTAAAAAAACCAACAAATTAACAGTGGGTTCAGTTTTCTCTATGAGAAAATAAGGGTAACAAAACAGAATAAAATCATTATGCAACATTTTGTTGTATCTCGACAACCCCCCCCCCCCCCTTTCTAAATTTGTAGTTAGGTTTAAGGTTATAGCTAAACTCCTGCTCAGAGTTGAAACTCTTTTTATTTTCTGTAGAGATACCACGCCAAAATATGTTATCTTAACTCCTATTCCATAAATAAGACTTTATGACTAGTACTTTTCTGTTTGCCGGACGCTCGCGATAAAACCTTCTGAACCCCCCCCCCCCCCCCCTATTCTTTACCTTAAGCCTTATTACCAACAGTAAATTAGCCGATTTTTTTGGTGTACGCTAACGTAACAATGACCAGAGGCGTAGCGAGGGGGGGGGGGGAGGTACGGACCGTACCGGGTGACACCATTTAGGGGGGTGACACCAAGGCAAAAAGTAGCAAAATATATAGAGAAAAACTTGAGGGGGAGGGATGCAAATCGAAAGTTTGAGGGGGGGGGGGGGTGCAAATCGAAAGTTTGAGGGAGGGGGGTGCAAATCGAAAGTTTGAGGGGGGAAGGAGTGCAAATCGAAAGTTTGAGGGGGGGGGGGGGGGGTGCAAATAGAAAATTTGAAAGTTTGTCCGCGGGAAGGGTCGCTACGCCTCTGGGGGGTGACACCATTAAGTGCCGCACTGGGTGACACCCGACCTCGCTACGCCACTGACAATGACATTATACCTATGAATATTGTATGAATTCAAATTTGTATTGGCCAGGTTTATTCGCGGCGTGCTGCTGGCCATGTTTTGAGTGCAAAGTGGCATGTGATATGGACGAGTCGTGCCTGTTGCCATTCTGTGTCCCAGCATACCAGATAGCACTGAGGACCAAACTCAGAACGCGGGAACATTTGTCGGTTAGTGGTTTTAAAAACAACTTAAAGAGCAAACACGAAAAACAAAAAAAGACAGCAAAAAACCCGACATTTTGCTAAAATGATCATGGCAAAGGTTGATTATAAATCTAAAAAATAGTTTGCTTTCATTTTTTTTCACGTTTTCTCTTACATTTTGTCATTTGTATTTGTTCTGGTAAAAACACTCGGGTATTTTTTTCTGAAAAAAAAAGTTATATTATTTCGAAAAACAAAAACAAAACAACAACAAAAAAAAAAACAAAAAAAAAAACAACAACAAACAAACAACATAATAAAACGAAAATCAACTTGATCTTTGTATGAAAAAATACGTGAAATTAAACGAAATAGTAAGTTTAATTATCATGCATTTTTTTTCTTTCCTTCAAAAATCCAACTGCCCGAAGTTTTCGTCTTTATGTGAGGTCGCCCATTTATTTCTCTATTTTAACCCCCCTCGCTGACTCTCCCCATCTTCCCACTATGAGAGATTGACACCACTAACTGACAGCCTAATCTTCTCAACAGGGTTCGATCCTAGGCGACTGTGGCATCGCTTGCATGTTTCCATTCTGTTCACTCATTCAAGTTGCCAGGGAGAACAAACACAGAAAAGGTTAAAGGTCACACGAAAATCAATATTATTTGGAAAATTAGTTGTTTTTATTTTACGTGCATATATTTATAGTTATTTTGGATTGGATTTAATATAAATAAAATTTACATAGATAATAATTCAGTTTTGTTATTAAATGAAAATTGTAAGTACTTTTGTTTGTGCTAATGATAAATGAGAGAGAGAGAGAGAGATAGGGGTAAGGTAAGGGAGAAAGAGAGAGAGGAAGAGAAACAGGTAGAGAAAGAGGGTGAGAGAGGGAGAGAGAGGGTATAAGAGGGAAGAGGGAGAGAAAGAGGAGATAGAGGTGAGAAAGCGTGAGAGAGAGGGAGAGAGCGGATGAGAGAGTGGGAGAGGGTGAGAAAGAGCGAAATAGAAATAAAAAGGAATACTAACAGAAGGTAAGCGCGAACAAAACCAATTCTGAGAAGAGAAAGACATTTACAAGACCTGTGTGTACTAGTTTGTGACCTGTCCTTGTGCACTATCTAGGGACCTGTCCGTGTACACTATCTAGGGACCTGTCCGTGTACACTATCTAGGGACCTGTCTTTGTACACTATCTAGGGACCTGTCCGTGTACACTATCTAGGGACCTGTCCGTGTACACTATCTAGGGACCTGTCCGTGTACACTATCTAGGGACCTGTCCGTGTACACTATCTAGGGACCTGTCCGTGAGCACTAGCTAGGGACCTGTCTTTGCGCAGGCTACTAGCTAAGGACCTGTCTGTGTGCAGGCTCCTAGCTAGGGACCTGTCCCTGTGTAGGCTACTAGCTAGGGACCTGTCCGTGTATACAATCACTAACTGAACAAAAAAATGTACAGTGTTGCTGAGTTAATAACAATTAAAAAAAATAAAAATAAATACAAGTTTAAAAAGAAGTCTGCAAGTACAGGATGTATATCCTGTAGGAAATGGGCTCGGCGCATGAGAAAGTTTGACTTGATCCCTGACTACTGAGTTATCTAACTTCCTCCTTTTCTGGCAGATGGCGAGAAACTGTAAATAAAAATAACCTGAAATCGTATTGGTATAACATGCTCACATCCGGGGCTCGACTCAGTAGGGCGTCGCTGACTCTGTCGACTCTGACTGGTATCTGACCGTATGACGTCCCCGAGTCACCTAGCTCTGATGGGTTTCTGACTATAGGACGTCCCTGACTCTCAACTACCTGACTATAGGACGTCCCTGACTCTCAACTAGCTGACTGTAGGACGCCCCTGACTCTCAACTACCTGACTATAGGACGTCCCTGACTCTCAACTAGCTGACTATAGGACGTCCCTGACTCTCAACTAGCTGACTATAGGACGTCCCTGACTCTCAACTACCTGACTATAGGACGTCCCTGACTCTCAACTAGCTGACTGTAGGACGCCCCTGACTCTCAACTACCTGACTATAGGACGTCCCTGACTCTCAACTAGCTGACTATAGGACGTCCCTGACTCTCAACTAGCTGACTATAGGACGTCCCTGACTCTCAACTACCTGACTATAGGACGTCCCTGACTCTCAACTAGCTGACTGTAGGACGCCCCTGACTCTCAACTACCTGACTATAGGACGTCCCTGACTCTCAACTAGCTGACTATAGGACGTCCCTGACTCTCAACTAGCTGACTATAGGACGTCCCTGACTCTCAACTAGCTGACTATAGGACGTCCCTGACTCTCAACTAGCTGACTATAGGACGTCCCTGACTCTCAACTAGCTGACTATAGGACGTCCCTGACTCTCAACTAGCTGACTATAGGACGTCCCTGACTCTCTCAACTCTGACGGGCGTTTGAGCGTAGGACGTCCCCGGGCCACCAAGCTCAAATGGGTATGTGACTTGGATCCAGGAAAGTAAAGTCGTCTGGGCATAGCACTGACCAAACTGCCCCATTATTTGCCTATGTCAAAGTGACAGATAACCTCTACTGTATCTGCTCCATAGACCTTCAGCTATAACAGCCAACCTTACTGTAAAGAAAGATTAACCATTAACCTCCCGGCACCATCAAACTACCAAGTGGCTAAAATGTTATACCACACATCTAGATCTACATCTAGAGGTGAATACAAATGATGTCCATCCTGTATAAACAATGACTTTCCAGTCTAGTGAGATCATACACATCTTTCTTTCGTTTTTTGTTTTTTGTTTTGTTTAGTAAAGGTAGTAGATAAATAAAAATTATCTACTTTTCTGAACACGTTAGACTGTATGGTCAATACATTGTGTCTATACTGTGTTGTGTGCAAAGTGTTTCTTCCAGACGTTTTTCGGGGGTGATAGAATTTGAAAAGAGCACATATGAAAATATTTTACCTAATATACACACCAAACACAGATATAAATAAAATATATAAAATATAAAATAATAAATTAGATATATATAGGTCCGATTAGCCCCCCCCCCTATATATATATATATATATAATATATATATATATATATATATATATGTGTGTGTGTGTGTGTGTGTGTGTAAAGAATGTTTAATACAATGTATTCACATCCCTTTCAAAAACATATTTCCCCTACCTTGTATTTTGGGAAATCATGGCCTCCGCCCATGCGCAAACAATGAATCAGGAAGCAGTTCTCGTGACGCAGGGTCAAGGTTTATCAGTTCAATGTAATCTCTCACTTATCTCTTTCGAAGAAGATGATATAACTGAATCACTGGCGGATGCAGATGATAAGATATGTCATATCCGGTGTTTACGTCCCAAAACTACTAAAAGTTTGGAATGTGCGACATTTTTTGAGTTCGATAAAGTTTTAAAGGGCACAAAATTTGATCTAAATAGCCTTGGTTCAAACAACGTGACACGAAACAAATCTATATCGGCCTACGTTTTTAATTAAAGTTTAATAAAGCTAATAAAAAAGAGGAAATTAAATTTTAAATAATTTTAAATCATGAATTTAAACGGAGATAAATGATGCTTTGAACTACTTTCATAAACGATGTCATATTAATGCTCCTTTTACCTATCCCCACGTTATACATCAGACTTCTCCCCCCCCCCCCCGTATTCATGTTTTTGGCTTCATTTACAGACGACCCCATAAGATTGTCAGACTAAATAACAAAAAAATTATATGCCTAGTGATTGAAAAACAACTTTTGGGTTCTCTATCAAATATCTGCATTATGGTTTGTCGGCCTTATGGTCTGTCGGCCTTTCGTCTGTCGGCATTTTGTCATTGTCGGCATTTTGTCCTTGTCGGCCTTTTGTCTTTTCGGCCTTTTGGATGTCGGCCTTTTGTCATACACCTCTGGTATCTGTAGGGTAAATATAAAATCTCTAGATCACTTTTCACCATAAGATAACCATAGAGCATACGGGATATTTAGGCGATAAGTTCAAGCACAAATGAAGATGGTTACAATGTAGTATCAACATAACTCAATTAGTCATCATAGATGCACTTAACTGTATATTGCTACATAATTTGACCCAGATAAAATGATATATAAACGTGTAAGAATCACGTGATTTTCCTGAGGAAAAAATCGAAACAATTATCTAATTGGAGATAAAGTAAATGCAAGTTTGTTGTTGTTAACAATTGTGTTTAAATAGTCTTTGTGATCGGATACCAGTTGTTACCAGGAAAAATGTCTGTAAGTCGATAAAAAATAATAATATATCTAACATTTTTATATAGCCTATTTATATTGTTATAACATTTATAAATTTAACATAATATACAAAACCAATATATTGACTCTCTCTTTATATATATAAGTAGGCTATATATATATATATATATATATATATATATATATATATATATATATATATATATATGTATATAGCCTAAATGTATATAATTTGCAAATGCGTGTTCATGGTGTATTATGGTCATTACAGTTAGTATGTGTGTCATATGATGCTTCCCAAGGCTATCATGTAGTTTATTTAGGGACAATTAATTATATTCTTGTATTCTTTAGTTTTTGTCATGTAACTTACACACTTGTTTTGAATTCAATTCTATTTCAGTCCAAAGACAAAAGTAAGGCAAAATTCCGGAGCTCGGACAAAGACTCCACTAAACCCCCAGGGTACGATCAGGCCATCTCACAGGCGCATTACCCACAGCGATTTGAAGGGGGGTATATTGGACCGTACCCCGGCCGTCAGGAGTCTTACCCCGGACCACACGCTTCCTACCCCGGCCCACAACCAACATACCCCGGCCCACAACCAACTTACCCCGGCCCACATGGATCATACCCCGGACCACAGGGGTCATACCCTGAGCCACAAGAATCCTTCCCCAGAGTGCCCAGTCAATATCAGGCACGTCAAAATGGGCAGCCCGGACACGACTCATCGTTTCATGAATTACATAACTCCAACATGACCACTCAAACCACTGAAAGATTTCACGAAAGGGTCATCATATCACAACCTGTTGCTCCGAAGCCGGAACCGGCAATCAAGCCGGAGTCTGTGCCAAAACGAAAGCCGGTTACGGAATGGAGTTCTGATATTTGTGATTGTTGCGATAACAAAACCATGTGTAAGTTATATCCATCCATCCATCCATCCATCCATCCATCCATCCATCCATCCATCCATCCATCCATCCATCCATCCATCCATCCATCCATCCATCCATCCATCCATCCATCCATCCATCCATCCATCCATCCATCCATCCATCCATCCATCCATCCATCCATCCATCCATCCATCCATCCATCCATCCATCCATCCATCCATCCATCCATCCATCCATCCATCCATCCATCCATCCATCCATCCATCCATCCATCCATCCATCCATCCATCCATCCATCCATCCATCCATCCATCCATCCATCCATCCATCCATCCATCCATCCATCCATCCATCCATCCATCCATCCATCCATCCATCCATCCATCCATCCATCCATCCATCCATCCATCCATCCATCCATCCATCCATCCATCCATCCATCCATCCATCCATCCATCCATCCATCCATCCATCCATCCATCCATCCATCCATCCATCCATCCATCCATCCATCCATCCATCCATCCATCCATCCATCCATCCATCCATCCATCCATCCATCCACAGGCTGCCGAGCCATGTTTTGGTATCCATGTTTTGAATGTGAGGTAGCCGCTAGCATGGATGAACCAAGATGTCTGCCCTGTAATGTACCAGGCTACCAGGTAGCTCTACGGACCAAACTTCGAACAAAAGAAAACATAAAGGTCAGCATTAGGCTATATCCATCCCCTTAATTCCCTTTCAACTTAATTCCCGAATTTTAAACGTTGATTTAATGTTAACCACAACCCCCTCCCATCCGCTGTTAATTGCTTTCTATCATGAGAGTAGTATAACTTGACTATCACCATAATTCTCATTCATGTATTCACATTTGTTACGCGTAAACCGCCCTTGACTCTCGATTATCTCCCATGTCACCAGGGTAACATCCGCCAAGACTGTTGTATCGCCTGCTGCTGTCCCTTCTGCTCACTGCTGCAACTGGCCAGGGAAATCAAGTTCAGGAAACATCTGGCCGAACAGCTCGAGAAACAACAAAATTGATCATCTGCTTTTTCAAAAAAATCGATATTAGGATGTAAAAATGATAATAAATAAATAAAAAAGTATCAAAATAGGAAAAGTAAAAGTAAATTAAAAATTATTATTTAATAGATGAACTCATCATTCAAGATATGGTTTGTGTATATTATAATGTTCACTTTCTTTGTAATATAAATAATCTCCAACGCAGAAGACCAGTAAAGATTTCAAGGGATACAACCCATTAAATGTTAATACTCATGAAGCTTTAAGTCATTACCTCCCATACAATTACTTGATTATGTAATCTCGTAATAAACGTACTACTAAATGCCTGATAATGTGTATTTATATGTTATCATAGTTTTACCAATCCCAATCATAATTCTTTTTTTTATGGAATGAAAAATAAAACAGGCTGGATGTTTTTTTTTTAAACGGAAAAGCAACTCTTTATACTAGAATGCGCCATTAAATAAATGTCTTTTAAAAAAACAATGATACACTTAATTTGTATGTATTTCTATAGACATTTATTATGTTGCAATCAGCATAATTAATATGTGCCATTGTTTTTACAGTAACCAAGGGTGGACTGGTTGTGTCCGGGAAATTTAAAAAAGGGGCCAAGAAAGTCTGGTCAAAAAAAATTTTGTGTGCATTTTTTCGCCTTGTTATGAAGGACTATTGCAGTAGGACTCCTGGGGCACCACTTAAAACTTCTTCCGAGAGCCCACCAGGATCTTATTCGAGGGGGCCCACCGGGAATTTCCCCATAAGACCGACTTGACCTAGTCCTCTTTGCTCCTTATGGCCTCCATCATATCCTTCCATTTTGTCATGTACCCGGCTTTTAATTTTACCATCTCCCAAGACATCCCTGTTGCCTTCAGTTCTTCTAGGAGACTCAACCTCCAGGTCTGTCTTGGGCGCCGTCTCTTCCGCTTTCCCTGGGGGTTCCACGCAAACGCCGGGCGGAGAATTAATACTATAAAAAGGAAACTGATTTATTTTTAAAAAGCTAATAAAACATCTAATTAAGTCTTATTTTATGTCACGGTGCATTGTCATTGAGACTTACCTGAAAAGTCTGAAAGAAATCGGCGCGGGGAAAAAAAAGATCTTTTTTTTTAGAAAAAAGTCCTTCCCTGCTACGAACTAATTAGATTTAATCAATCTTAGTTTATTTGCCATAGCCTAGTATTGATACTTTTGTATCTTGTGAGTGTATCTCTATGTACAAATGTTTATAGTACCTAAGCTAATTATTGTATTCAACTGGAATTTGGATGTAAGAAAAAAAAGCATCTGAGCATCTGTGCTATTTACTTTCAATAATAAGAAAGATAATCTTCCCGTTTTGTAGCCACAATAAAAGAAGACATTTGTAAGTTGTAATCTGGTTCACGTGACTCCGAGAGGACTTATCAGTAGCTCGCAAGGTCTTTAGGTCAAACTAGCAGTCCGTGTTCGGCGACATACAAGCCAGACTGACGAAACGATCACGGAAATGATGCAACAAGCCAGAATGACGAAACGATCACGGAAATAAAAACAAAAGTCGGTCTAATTTAATCATTTCTCCAGACTATAGGAAGGCTGGTGATGAAAGTATTTTTCCATGGACAAACAGTTTTTGTTTCACACGTTTCTTACAGCGGGGGTGGGGGGGGGGGGGGGCAAAAGTGCACTTGAAATTTTTGGAGGGCGGACTTAAACAAAACATAATTTATATAGAAAATTTATATACTTTTACCAGTGTTCCCCCACCCCATTCGAAAGTTTCAAGTACCCCCCCCCCCCGCCCTTTCCGAACAAAAATGTCTGAAAGACACATTGAGGCCATTACATTGTAACCACTTATATGGTGGTTCAGATTTTTTCAGTCAGCCATAAAAATACGAAGTCCCATAACCCGATAACCAGATGCAAAGGAAAATTGTACAGGTTATTAGTGAAAAGTTGGGTATAATTACAGATCAGACGTTCCACAATGCAGGTGAAATACAGTCTATCGTTTTGTTCTGACTGCGGCGTATGAATATAGTCCTCACTATGTAAAAAAAAAAGTAAGTTCCCCTTCCAAACCTGACGGTCTATGGAGCAAGTGAAGTAGAGTTCACCTGTATCTGTGACTTCGGTTTATTAAGAGGTAGAGTGGTCTGCACTGTGGTCAGCACTATGTCCAGCCGCCTTTACTTTCCCTAACGTGAGTTAGGTACCTATTGAACTGGGAGGACTCAGGGACGGTCTGCTGACTTGATGCCAGATTCGAACTCGAGACTTACGAGACTTACGGGTAAGCAGTCTAGCCCTCTACCGCTAGGCCACTCCGTCCCCTCCTCACTACGCCAAGGCGCTTATAACTTTCCCCTATTCGAGTCAGGTACCTACAAAGCTGAGTCTACTCAAGGACTTTCTACTACTTGGTATGTCAGTCTGAACTCCAGACTTTTGTGTCAGTTATCGTGTATTCGGGGTTGTGGATCGCAATGTAAAATATTCCATCACCGTTAGGGCTGATGTGCTTGCGTTAAACCGTTAAGCTGTAAACGTGTCAAAGATTCCGATTGTGATAAAACTTTAAAAAACTAGACTTTAAAAATTTCACCGAACTCGAGCTTTCAACTTCCGGGTTCAATGTAGTGGCGTCACCCAGTCGGATGACCCCAGTCGGATGACCCCAGTCGGATGACCCCAGTCGGATGACCCCAGTCGGATGACCCCAGTCGGAGGACCCCAGTCGGATTCTGTCAAACTTTTTTCCATCGGGAGGGCACTTGAAACTTTTGGAGGAGGGGCCGGAGAAGATTTTCCAGGGGGGGGGGGGCGGACAGGGGGGTCTACATAAATCCTATTTCGTTCAGAGATGCCTGAACGGAACACTTGTTGGGAAAATAGGAATATTGACCCCCCCCCCCCCCCCCCCCCCCCCCCAAGTTCTGTATCCATGTGTAAGGCTACATGAATACACGTCAGTTAGATGGACAAACTTTGATGCTTAGGACTTAAGTGTAAGATATTAATTTCTTGATTCTGCCACATTTGAGCCTTTCTGTTGACCGGAAGTAGTACTTTACGCCAAAACATTTCTGTTGCATGCTTGCACCGGAACTACCCTACTGCTTTATAAGAATATATGAGAAGTTTTAGGGTCTTAATTCATTAGATAGCATATATTTATATGCACACACATATGGGTATATATGTATATATGGGAACAGGGCATTTTCCCCCTGTCAATTACCCCCCGGATATTTCCCCCCCGACATTACCCCCCAGAGTAATTACCCCCCTGACAATT